TAGATAGATAGATAGATAGATAGATAGATAGAAACCATCAGATAGATAGATAGATAGATAGATAGATAGATAGATAGATAGATAGATAGAAACCATCAGATAGATAGATAGATAGCCATTATAGTAACTAAAAAAATAATTCCTTCAAATAAAATACACGTTAACTTTAATAATTTATTTCAGCTATTTGCTAAGCCAATATTTCTCAGTTTTATTTAGTTTAACTTAATGTTCTATAATTAAACTGAAATAAGAATGAATAAAAACTATAGAGACAAAAAAAAATTAGCTACAAAAAAATAAAACTTTAAATTAATATTAAAAACGGAGAATTAATATGAATAAACTGTAAATTAAATGTTAATAAAAACTATAACAGCACATCAGTGATACTCATAACTTTTGTGTTATTCACAGCCTTGTTTAACAGTAAGGAATTATGAATGTAGTTAAATAGACAAAATAGTTTTTGCAAAAAATAAAAAAAAGATTAGAAAAAATTGTTTATATCTTCTTCCTTGCAACACGTATTCAAGGTTTATCATCAGATGTGTAGCACACCTGTCCTCAACATGCTGCAAGAAGCGCTAGAGTTCAACGCTCAGCTTTTATTCATATCCATAAATCTGAGCCATAATCGCGCTGATACTCAAGTTACGCCGATCGCCAAAATATCTTCAGACAGCGTCAACATGAGCTCGTGAGCTCCGCCACAGCGCGGCACTGTCGGTCGCTATGGAGACGCCTAACACCGCGCAGCTTGACCATTAGAGACCAGTGTTTGAGCCTAACAGCGCAGCTTGAACCATTCGACTATATCATATCATAGATCATATAGACCCGTGTTTGAGCCTAACACAAGGACATTCAGAGATTTCTGCGCCGCTCGGAGTCTGTGCAGGTAAACATACCTCACCATGCTAACCGCTCGGTTTCCTGACAAATAGCATAGTTAGCGCGTTTCTACTGTAACCATAGCATCTCCGTTCAGAGTCGGCTCTTTTCTAAATTAAAACATCGCTAAAAATACATCAGCTGAAGACTACATCATAATTTACTAATAATAGCAACAACTACATAGTGCTTACAGACAATACTACAAGCGCTTTAGCAAACATAAACATAGCAGCAAACAATATAAAGGTAAGATTTAAGTGCTTTTGAAGGAAGTCTCTTGTGTTCACCAAGGCTGCGTTTATTTGTTGAAAAATACAGTGAAAACCGCAATATTTAGAAATATTACTACCATTTAAAATGACTGTTTTCTGAGTATTTTTTGAAAAATGTAATCGATTACTGTGATGAATTTTTAGCCGCTCCAGCGTCACGTGGTCCTTCAGAAGTCATTCTGATTGGCTGCTCAAGAAACATGTCTTATCATCACAACTGTGTTGAAAACAGTTAGTATTTTTGTGAAAAACCGTGATTCTTGGATGAATAGGAAGTTCATAATAACAGCTTTTACTTGATGTTGAAATCTTTTGTAACATTACTTGTCTTTATTGTCATGCCTCCTTGCTTTATTCATTATATATTAATTACTAGGCTGTATAAACGTTTGAATGGTAATGTAGGCTACATAGAGACACATTGTGCCAATTGTATTGTATGTACTAAGACACATTCAGATTTCAGGCGAATGAAAACTTTTTCAGAATGACAAAGACTCTTATAGCAATTATACCTGGATTAACCTGACTACGTTACAGTAACAAACGTCACTTTTATGGGTCAAGTCAGGCAGAAACCTTCAGGTAACAACTGTACTTTTCTATGATAGCGTAGAAGAGGGTTTGCAGTATGAAGAGATCAATCCTCCAAGATTTAAGCATTGCTCATCACTATACACTGTTATCTCATAGCACTCACAGAGAACCTGCAGCACCTGAGAGATCCTGCCAAGAAAAGAGCATCTCCGTATGGAGCAGAAGACGGGACCTGGCAAGTGGTGAGATTATACAGGTTTCAGCCTTTTGTTTCTGTATTCATCTGTGCTAGATTATAAAGAGCCTTTTCCTTAATTTGTTCCCTTTCATTTCTTATTTTGATGGTCTGTAGGCTAGAGAACAGTCCCTGTGAGTCTGGCTTTGTGAGTGATCAGTCCTCCATGGAAATCCCACCGGTCTTCAGAGAAAATGTAATGGTGACTTCACTGCCACCTGTTCACCTAAATTTAATAATAATACATTTTAAAGGAATAGTTCGTGCCTAAATGAAAATTTGCTAAAATGTACTCTCCAATATGTTGTTGAGTTTTTGCTTGTTTCAGTAGAACAGATTGCACTCTAAAAAATGCTGGGTAAAATATAACCCAGCACTGGGTTAAAAAGGGACAAACCCAGCTATTGGGTTGTTTTGACCCAGCGGTTGGGTTCAAAACAACCCAACCGCTGGGTCAAAACAACCCAACCGCTGGGTCAAAACATCCCAATAGCTGGGTCAAAACAACCCAATAGCTGGGTCAAAACACCCCAATAGCTGGGTCAAAACATCCCAATAGCTGGGTCAAAACAACCCAACCGCTGGGTCAAAACAACCCAACCGCTGGGTCAAAACAACCCAACAGCTGGGTCAAAACAACCCATCCGCTGGGTCAAAACATCCCAATAGCTAGTGCCGTCAGAATGAGAGTCCAAACAGCTGATAAAAACATCACAATAATCCACAACTATCAATTATCTTGTGAAGTGAAAAGTGTGTTTGTCAGAAACAAATTCCTTGTTTAGACATTTTAACCTTTAGCCATTGCTTCCTGTTAAAGTACAATTATTTTTGCTTTGTCCAATGACAAAGTCGTCTCGTCTGAACCAGGAGAGAAATATGCACAGATCAAGCACTGTTTACAAGTGAAAACAATGGATTTTGATGTGAGAGGACAACAGGGGATGGACTTTTTCACTGGAGGAAACGCTTTTATGGATTATGGACTCACATTTTGGCGAGAAGCCGTGGTTTAATGTTCAAATACCTTAATTGTTTCTTACAAACATGCATCACTTCACAAGACATACGTGTGGATTATTGTGATGTTTTTATCAGCTGTTTGGACTCTCATTCTGACGGCACCCATTCACTGCAGTTTCACAGTGCTACATTTTTCCAAGTCTGTTCTGATGAAGAAATAAACCTATCTACATATTGAATGGCCTTTGAGTTCCATTGCTGTATGAAGTCCTCAAGCTGGTTTTGTTGTGAGAGCACACTGCTGTATTATTGACCCGTGAATCATCATTAATACTGAGCTCATGCAGAAGCGGATGGATCACACTGAAGCGTATGAGAGCTCAGAGCACTGGCTGGAGTCGAGCGGTCTGGAGAGCTGTGGACTGTCTCTCTCTCACCTCCTGTCACTCTGCACAACTGCTCCTGTGTAAGTTTACACAACAGTATACTCATTGCACCCTGTGCTGTTTGACATCCACCCTGTCTACACCGAGAGCAATGTGAATTCACAATCTAGAATGCTCCCATTATAACGAACAAAGCTGTCAAAAAGTGTATGAAATGATTGCAGATTTGTTTGGCACAGGTTATGTCATCAACAACAAACTCCCCACACGATATATGTTCAAAATGTTGTTTCAAAGCACGTGAATTAGTTTGGGTCTTAGAAACCAGGTGGTAGAATTATAATTACCTGCTGTTCTCAAAAAAACAGGTAACCAGAATGCAAGCTCAATATTTTATTTTTATGAAATTATAAACCATGCTTTTAGATTTAATGCACACCACTAATACAGACCGTAAACCTACCATTATTTGACAGAAAATTGCATTTAAGGTAGTATTGTGTGGCTTCAGTAAGAAAAGCACAACCTTATAAAAAATAAATGTGCTTACTTGTATTGAATGTGCACTTGTAGTGTACTTCAAATCTTAAAAGTACTGTCACTGGACATAATATAATATTAATGAAATTAATTTGACTTAAAGAGAGCACACTTTCATGACTGTTTCTTACACATTTCTTTCAAAAAAAGTGCACTTGTCAAAAAAGTTTTATTTAAAAAGTACTTTGCTTTGTCGTGCTTTAAAAAAATGGACTTATTTTAATGTCGACTAACGCTAACTAATTAAATCACGTGTAAAGTACTTGATTATAATTGTAACTGTAGTGTTTTTTTTATATTACATTAAGTGTTAATATATTTTAAATGTACTAAATTATCATTACAAATGTGTAATTACAAATATATTTAAAACATGACATTCGAACTCAATAGAAATGACAAAGTATATTTTTGCATGAATTTTTATACATTTGGCAGTACACTTTCTTTAACAATATATCAATGTCACTTGAATTATTATGGCATTACATATAAAGATGTAAATGGGTAAAAAAAACAACAACTGAAAAACACTTTGTCAGAATAGCACTCTAAAGTGCAATTTAATGCATTACAGACTTACAGATAAGTGTCAAAACGTTAAATTCAGTTCGCACTTAAGTATATTCTTAATATAGTATATGTGACCCTGGAGCACAAAAGCAGTGTTAAGTCTCTGGGGGATATGTGTAGCAATAGCCAACAATACATTGTATGGGTTAAAATGATAGATTTTTCTTTTATGCCAAAAATCATTAGGATATTAAGTAAAGATCATGTTCCATGAAGATATTTAGTAAACTTCCTACCGTAAATATATCAAAACTTCATTTTTGATTAGTAATGTGCATTGCTAAGAACTTCATTTGGACAACTTTAAAGATGATTTTCTCAATATTTAGATTTTTTTGCACCCTCAGATTCCAGATTTTCAAATAGTTGTATCTCGGCCAAATATTGTCCGATCCTAACCAATGGAAAGCGTATTTATTCATCTTTCAGATGATATATGAATCTCAATTGCGAAAAATTGACCCTTATGACTGGTTTTGTGGTCCAGGGCCACATATTATTTCCATAATAAGTACTATTTTTAAAAGTATGTGCTATGGCATAAAAAAATGAGAAACTATGTTTTGCATAAAGAAAATAAAGCCTATTTTTGGATTATCATGTTGTTATGCATTATGACTGTAAACTGTCAGTTTGTGCCAGTTAGTTCAAATCTTTAGTCACGATTAATAAAAAGTGCTGGACCCAATGAGTAATGCTCTCAATTCAGTGCATTAATGCTTTTAATGTGTAATTGTTGGGTCCAGATGTTTGTGTAATACAATATGTAAGTGTTAGCAGTTCTAATAATTTGTGCGAGAAATGTGTTCAATTGTCATAAAAATGTTAATGATATAAAAATATCTTATGGGGCCTTAAAAATAGGCTGTTTGCTTTATGCAAAACATTGCCTTTTTTCATTTGCTTTTGGTGAAATATGACTCTGATATGTTCTTTGTGAATTTTTTCCAACCAGTACCAGACTTGTGTTCTCTCTCTCTCTCTCTGTGTGTGTGTGTGTGTGTGTGTGTGTCTGTGTGTGTGTGTGTCAGATCGGAGAGAGGAGACGGGGTGAGCAAACAGATGCACATCAGCAGTGAGTCACTGGCAGACTTTGAAGAACAGCTTTACATGTGAGCATCATCTCCTCCACTGCACAGTCACCATGATGATACGTTATCCTTCTCAGTGCTGCTGAATGCAGTACATGTCATAGGCCTGTCGAAAAGTTGAATTAATTACATTATATGACAAAATACATGACAGATTAACTGATGAAATTAATCACAATAATGGGTGCAGTAAAGTACTGAAAAGACACAGGTGACTTTAGAAGTCTATGTGTTGTTAGTTTTATTACACAATTGACAGATCATGGGTCATGATTTCATGTTTATAACACTGTTTTTGAATATAATAACCCAAAATGGATTTTTGAATTGAGGTGTTTGTTTGTAGTGCCGTTGAGATGTACCATGATCAAATCAAGTGGCTCAGTCAAGGAAACAGGAAGGTAAATTGAATCTCTGAGATCTTCACTCCATGAATCTGGTTTAAGCAGAACTTTGATGTCCTGTGTTGGTTTGGTTTGATCTGTCAGGTGTTTGGGGTGGTGAACGGGTCCCGCGTCGGAGTGCTTGTCGACACGTCTGATTTGACCTGCTCTACAGAGAGACTAGCAGATCTCCAGCGAGAGCTTCTAGTAGGATCCCAAATGAGTCGTTGCTTCAACTGCATGCTTTATTTTATTCAATTAATCAATTACGCTGCTCATTTTGTGGTTTCTTTTTACCAAAGGCTCTCATTGACGAGCAACTGCGCTTCAAAAAACAGCTGCATCTGCTGTCCTACGGCTCAGAAGTCAGCAGCCTTTGGGACAAACCGCTGGATACCTGTCCACTAAGGTGGGTGACATTGTTTCCACAACACGGATCACACACTACTCATTTGCCTCTCCACTATTCAATCAAACAAGTTTTTTTTATATATATATATATGGCTAATTGGTTATGTGCAGTGTATTATAAGTCATAATACGGACAGTGATCATGTAAGCCCTTTACCCCATCAGTTCATTCTGCTGTTAGCAATTTTTACGATACCTAGCTCTTGAAACAGTCTTCATGCCGGGAGCTCGTCTATGATGATGCCTACGGAAGCAGCTCGCTAGGTTTTGGAATATAGCTACACAGTATCCTTTTTTTGTTATGCTACATGTAAAGAAAGGTGAATGAGTTCAAGAGCAGGAGGCTCTTTCTGTCTCAGGCTCAGGGAGTGCTGTGCGTGGGTCATGCAGCTGCGAGCAGGTGGAGGCTGTGGTCTCCTGCAGGCGCTACAGAGGGCACTGACCCGCTCAGAGCTGGACACACTACTCATCATCCTGGGCTCTCGGTGAGAGTTTGTCTTGCTGTGATGAATCACTGTTTCTTAACTTAACTTGAGCCAGTAGCCTTTTCGTGTCCTTCACATTCACGGCCGCCTTTAGACATATTTGCAGTCCATTTTCCTTAAACAGTTTGAGTGCTATAATTGTCTGAGGAGATGGTTTAAAAGTGGCAGCCTAGGCATAATAGAGCACAACAGCGGGGTTAAAGAAGTAAATATCCTTCTCATTTTCTCCATGGAGAAACAGACTTTAAATGATAACATATAAAGCTTTCAAGACAGATCCACCATGAATTGTGAGGTTGCTAAATGGGTGCTCTATTCGTCTGTAAAAGACCAAAGTCAGTGCAATTTGGAAATATAAATGGCTCAACAGCCCACTCCCATGAAGCATTGCAAATCATGTAATCTAGTCTCTTTACACTCGTTTTTTTGCTTCAAATCAAATGTTTCAATGTCATAATGGAGTGGCTTAATTTGGTCCTTGACTCAGAACTCTGTATCATAGAAAGCTCATGGAGAAAATCAATAGAAAAAATACTTTGGAAACAAAGCAGATGAAAATGTGTGGTCACGGTTTCTAGTTTAAATCACTGATGCAAAATTATGTTTGGAACCTTATAATGATTATCTAATCATTATTTAAATTTTTTTTCAGCCCTGATCAGACAGTAGACGTTATATGTGATTTTTTAACTCAGAACCGAATGCCTTGTGTTCATGCGGTCGCCTACAGCTGCAGCAGTCCGGCCGCCATTGTGAGTGTCATAGACGGTCTTTATGTAATATGCAGAGGGACGTTTCTCATTATTGTCACTGATTGATGTGTGCTGTCTTAGGAGACTGTGAAGCAAATGGCAGAAGTTTCCGGGGGGAGGTTACTGATGCAAAATTATGTTTGGAACCTTATAATGATTATCTAATCATTATTTAAATTGTTTTTCAGCCCTGATCAGACAGTAGACGTTATATGTGATTTTTTAACTCAGAACCGAATGCCTTGTGTTCATGCGGTCGCCTACAGCTGCAGCAGTCCGGCCGCCATTGTGAGTGTCATAGACGGTCTTTATGTAATATGCAGAGGGACGTTTCTCATTATTGTCACTGATTGATGTGTGCTGTCTTAGGAGACTGTGAAGCAAATGGCAGAAGTTTCCGGGGGGAGATATCACCTGTTTTCTGCTGCACTGGTAATCTGTAAAAAATCCTCAAAATATGTGACCCTGCAGCACAAAAGCAGTGTTGAGTCGCTGGGGTATATTTGTAGCAATAGCCAAAAATACATTGTATGGGTCAAAATTATCGATTTTTCTTTTATGCCAAAAATCATTAGGATATTAAGTAAAGATCATGTTCCATGAAGATATTTTGTAAATTTCTTACCGTAAATATGTCAAAACTTCATTTTTGATTAGTAATATGCATTGCTAAGAAGTAAGAACTTCATTTGGACAACTTTAAAGGCGATTTTCCTCAATATTTTGATTTTTTTGCATTATTTATTCACCTTTCAGATGATGCAGAAATCTCAATTTAAAAAAAAATACCCTTATGACTGGTTTTATGGTCCAGGGTCACATATATAATCTCTTAAATTGAAAATGTATCGAAATCGAAATTACATACAGTGGTGACAAAAAGTATTCGGACACTGAAATCACTTAAAATATAAGAATTTTATTCTATTAGATGACAAAATAAAATTAAAGTGACATTTATTTTGTCAAACACACTTTTCAAGCAAAGAATTATTTACAAAAAAGGGTTTGAAATTATAGTAGACATAATGTTCAAACAAGACTTGTAAAAATTATTTGGATACTTGTTATTGTCTGAGTTAGTGGATCATGTTCATACTTGAATGAAAATTTGGTTTCAAAATGAACTTTCGTTCATCTTTGAAACACAAGTGAAGATATCCCTCCATTTAAGTCTATTCCACCAAAGGCTTCAGAAAGTTAGTAAAAATGTCTTAAAAGTAATCCATATGAATTAAGTCTTTGAAGAGACACAATCAGCACTTGCTTGGCATGTGAGGTTTATTCAGCTACGATGAGCAAATATGCCTTTTATCATATTCGATGTGCTCTATGCATGTGTGTTGTTCAATGTTTATATGTGAATAAATTAAATGTGTTCATCATATAAAACAACTTTGTCTTCAGAAGACTTGGAATAAACCTCTCAATTAATTTGAGTTACTTTTATGATGTCTTTATGAAGTTACTGAAGCTTGAAAGCTTGAAATCGGCAAGACTTTCAATGGATTGACAAAAAAATGATGAAAAAAATGTCTTTATTTTCCAAAGGTGAACAAAAGTCTTATGGGTTTGTAACAACATAAGGTTGAGTAAATGATTACATCATTTAAATTTTTGGGTGAACTATCCCTTTAATGTGGTTCTTTAGGACACCCGTGTTTGAAATTAAGGATAAATTACTTCATCTGTCCACCAAAACACAGTTGATTAAAAGTCACTGAGCAAAAAAAAAAAAAATGTTGAAGAGAAAACCTCCTGCAGTTTTTGATTCCAGATGATAATCACTTCGAAATGTTATTCTAAAGACCTTCAGACATTTTTGTGTGCTGTCAGTGTTCAAATACTTTTTGGGACTACATTATCTCATAAATAGTGTAGGAATATCTGTGTGTGTTTGTCTAATAGGGTGTAGTGGACAGCAGTACAGACGTAGATCTGCTGTGGGCGGAGATTAAAGCAGCTCGCAATGTTCTTACCCAAATTCAGAACATGCGCCAGGGTCGACTGGGAGACACAGCTGTCACTGTTGATTCAGAGGTGATGCTACAAACATTTACATTAAAATCCTTCTGTAGACAATTACAGAAAATCACTGTGTTAGTATCGAGGCAGAGTGATGATATTTTACTACGACGGTTCTCTGATACATACCATGAATGACCCTTGTGAAAAAGAAGTGCTCTTAATTCTATTGAATGTGAACTTGTAGTGTACTTCAAATCATAAAAGTATATTTTTAATAAACTGTACTTGCAAATAAAATCACATTAATGAAAGTGTGCGTAGAGTGCTCATTCATGACTGTTTTGCAAGTACACTTTTAAAAAGTTCACTTCGAAATAATGTCAGTTTAAAAGTTTTAACTTAGTATTACTTGATTTAAAGGTAATATATTTTAAATGTTCTGATTTGGAACTTTATTGTCATATATGTGTATTTACAAAAATGTGCATGACATACAAGTTTTAAAAGAAATGAGGCTAAAGTGTATTTAACCATAACATAAATGTTCTTCAGTACATCCGTCAGTACACTTTAACCATATTTCAACTTGTCCTACTTAAAGGGTTAGTTCACCCAAAAATGAAAATTAGCCCATAAATTACTCACCCTCAACTCACCTTTGTTCACCTGGGTGAACAAAGGCCTTCTGTAGCGAATCGATGCGTTTTTGTAAGAAAAATATCCATAATCAAAACGTAATAATCACTTTAATGTAGCTTGCGCTCACTGTTGTACACTGAAGCAGTTCCGGGCGGATGACGTATGAGGTCGGCTTTGAGCATGCACCGCTCAGAAGTGACGCACGCGGAAACACAGCGGAGAGATCAAGACAAAACAACGGTCACTAATTAGAAGTACTAAACGAGGATTTGTAAAGAAGAATGTCGGAGGATTTTGATATAAGCCAAGAGGAGACAGGTTTTCCTTTGCTAAAGAAAGGAAACTTTGCTTCCTTTGCTCCTGTAAACAAACGTTGGTTTTCATGGATATTTTTCTTACAAAAACGCATCGATTCGCTAAAGGAGACCCCCCCTGGGCCCCGTAGCTGTATGAGACACTTTTTTAATGGATGGACAGCTTGAAAGATCAAAACTGGATTCGTCTGAAAATTAAGGAAAAATTACTCATCTTGTCCACAAAAACACAGTTGATTAAAAGTCACTGAGCAAAAAAAAAAAAATGTTGAAGAGAAAACCTCCTGCAGTTTTTGATTCCAGATGATAATCACTTCGAAATGTTATTCTAAAGACCTTCAGACATTTTTGTGTGCCGTCAGTGTTCAAATACTTTTTGGGACCACATTATCTCATAAATAGTGTAGGAATATCTGTGTGTGTTTGTCTAATAGGGTGTAGTGGACAGCAGTACAGACGTAGATCTGCTGTGGGCGGAGATTAAAGCAGCTCGCAATGTTCTTACCCAAATTCAGAACATGCGCCAGGGTCGACTGGGAGACACAGCTGTCACTGTTGATTCAGAGGTGATGCTACAAACATTTACATTAAAATCCTTCTGTAGACAATTACAGAAAATCACTGTGTTAGTATCGAGGCAGAGTGATGATATTTTACTACGACGGTTCTCTGATACATACCATGAATGACCCTTGTGAAAAAGAAGTGCTCTTAATTCTATTGAATGTGAACTTGTAGTGTACTTCAAATCATAAAAGTATATTTTTAATAAACTGTACTTGCAAATAATATCACATTAATGAAAGTGTGCGTAGAGTGCTCATTCATGACTGTTTTGCAAGTACACTTTTAAAAAGTTCACTTCGAAATAATGTCAGTTTAAAAGTTTTAACTTCGTATTACTTGATTTAAAGGTAATATATTTTAAATGTTCTGATTTGGAACTTTATTGTCATATATGTGTATTTACAAAAATGTGCATGACATACAAGTTTTAAAAGAAATGAGGCTAAAGTGTATTTAACCATAACATAAATGTTCTTCAGTACATCCGTCAGTACACTTTAACCATATTTCAACTTGTCCTACTTAAAGGGTTAGTTCACCCAAAAATGAAAATTAGCCCATAAATTACTCACCCTCAACTCACCTTTGTTCACCTGGGTGAACAAAGGCCTTCTGTAGCGAATCGATGCGTTTTTGTAAGAAAAATATCCATAATCAAAACGTAATAATCACTTTAATGTAGCTTGCGCTCACTGTTGTACACTGAAGCAGTTTCGGGCGGATGACGTATGAGGTCGGCTTTGAGCATGCACCGCTCAGAAGTACTGTGTTAGTATCGAGGCAGAGTGATGATATTTTACTACGACGGTTCTCTGATACATACCATGAATGACCCTTGTGAAAAAGAAGTGCTCTTAATTCTATTGAATGTGAACTTGTAGTGTACTTCAAATCATAAAAGTATATTTTTAATAAACTGTACTTGCAAATAAAATCACATTAATGAAAGTGTGCGTAGAGTGCTCATTCATGACTGTTTTGCAAGTACACTTTTAAAAAGTTCACTTCGAAATAATGTCAGTTTAAAAGTTTTAACTTAGTATTACTTGATTTAAAGGTAATATATTTTAAATGTTCTGATTTGGAACTTTATTGTCATATATGTGTATTTACAAAAATGTGCATGACATACAAGTTTTAAAAGAAATGAGGCTAAAGTGTATTTAACCATAACATAAATGTTCTTCAGTACATCCGTCAGTACACTTTAACCATATTTCAACTTGTCCTACTTAAAGGGTTAGTTCACCCAAAAATGAAAATTAGCCCATAAATTACTCACCCTCAACTCACCTTTGTTCACCTGGGTGAACAAAGGCCTTCTGTAGCGAATCGATGCGTTTTTGTAAGAAAAATATCCATAATCAAAACGTAATAATCACTTTAATGTAGCTTGCGCTCACTGTTGTACACTGAAGCAGTTTCGGGCGGATGACGTATGAGGTCGGCTTTGAGCATGCACCGCTCAGAAGTGACGCACGCGGAAACACAGCGGAGAGATCAAGACAAAACAACGGTCACTAATTAGAAGTACTAAACGAGGATTTGTAAAGAAGAATGTCGGAGGATTTTGATATAAGCCAAGAGGAGACAGGTTTTCCTTTGCTAAAGAAAGGAAACTTTGCTTCCTTTGCTCCTGTAAACAAACGTTGGTTTTCATGGATATTTTTCTTACAAAAACGCATCGATTCGCTAAAGGAGACCCCCCCTGGGCCCCGTAGCTGTATGAGACACTTTTTTAATGGATGGACAGCTTGAAAGATCAAAACTGGATTCGTCTGAAAGAAGAAAGTGACAAAACAACGGTCACTAATTAGAAGTACTAAACGAGGATTTGTAAAGAAGAATGTCGGAGGATTTTGATATAAGCCAAGAGGAGACAGGTTTTCCTTTGCTAAAGAAAGGAAACTTTGCTTCCTTTGCTCCTGTAAACAAACGTTGGTTTTCATGGATATTTTTCTTACAAAAACGCATCGATTCGCTAAAGGAGACCCCCCCTGGGCCCCGTAGCTGTATGAGACACTTTTTTAATGGATGGACAGCTTGAAAGATCAAAACTGGATTCGTCTGAAAGAAGAAAGTCATATACACCTAGGATGGCTTGAGGGTGAGTAATTTATGGGCTAATTTTCATTTTTGGGTGAACTAACCCTTTAAGTGGGTCAAAAAAGCACTTTTAAGTCAAGTCAAATCACCTTTATAGTTATATAGTGCTTTATACAATACAGATTGTGTCAAAGCAGCTTCACAGTGTTAAACTGGAGAATAGTGTGTCAATAATGCAAACAGAAATTCAGTTCTGCTGTAAAGCAGCTCTAAATAGAGGACAGTAGTAGCAGTAAATTTTTTCAGTTAAAGTCAGTTCATCTTTGATTCTGTGATGTCATCGTCCAGCTCTGTCTGTGTGATCAAGTCGATAGTATTGTCAGAAATTAAGTGTCCCCAACTGAGCAAGCCAAAGGGGACAGTGGCAAGGAACCAAAACTCCATCGGTGACAGAAATGGAGAAAAAAAAACTTGGGAGAAACAGTTTTTCTCTGGCCAGAAGAAACCAGCATGGTGTGGTTTAATTCCAGGCTGCAACACAAGTCCGATTGTGCGGAGGACTCGTCTGATTCTCAAGGTCTTGTTCCCATGACTGCCTAGTTGACGAAATTAATTGCATTTCATTTAAATTTAAATTATCATACATTTTCATGTAATTGCAATTAATATGCAGTTAAGTGTCCGAAGATATTACATTAAGTTCACACTTAAGTATATTATTTTAAAGCATGCTATTTCTGTAATAAGTACTCTTTATAATAGTATGCTAAATGTACTTATTTTTCACAAGGGTGAATATTAATGCTGCCTTCATGTACCCTAAGAAATACTAACATAGTATATGTACATGGTATTGCTATGGTACATGTCTAAAAAAATATAGTAGTACCATGGCACTTTTGGTTTGTGAAATGTAGTGTTTTCTACCAGTTTACTCCTACATACTATAAAGTTATGAGAGCTGGAAACTTTCACTTTTTTACTTTCTGTTCTCACTTCAACCTTCACAGATCTCCACAGGTTTGGACAGTCTGACTCTTTCTGACTTCAGTCCTGTAAGTTCTGCTCTCAGTGCTCCACTGTGTATCCAAACCACAGGCCCAGTACCCACCACCTCCAGTGAATGGCTGAAGACCCACGGCCTGAAGGGTAGCTGCCATGCGATGCCTTTTCAAAGTCTGATAAGAAAATATCTGTTTAAATATCAAATTATTTTTAAGAATGTTCAAATTTTCTAGAATAGTCAGTACTGTAACGACCAAAAAGCACAATCTCAAAATCTTACGAACATGTTTGCATGTGTCAGTTTAATTTCCAGTGTATATCTTGGGTAAGTCTCTTTGATCAGAGTGGTTAGTCTTGGCTAACAGTTGTGTTCATGCAGCTCAGAAGCTGGATCTGTATCAGCTGCTGGCTCGTAATGCCTATTCTCCACAAGAGATGTTTGTGCCAGTCTTGGGAAAGACTGTTTCCTCTACAGTTCACGAGGTGATGAACATGTCCTGCTGCATTTATGAATCCAGTTTGAGGCCCATCTGTTCACATGTACAGCAGACTTAACTAACTCAGTGTGCTTGTCTGCAGCGGGTCATGGTACGGTTTGAGTGGCATGATGGAACAGTGAAGAATTTACATGTCGGTCTTCCATCACTGCAAAAGTACCAGGTACATTTTTTTAAACCAAAAACTCCATATACCGTACTTAGACCATCTAGAAATCATATAAAACCAGTTGCAGTCCTTCAAGCATTGTAAGTAATGTTAGCCATTTTGCTAACCTCCAACTTGCTAACTTGGCCACAATTTAACTAAAATGACTAAAAAAAATTGTACAACGTGGCCACAAATTAAGTCATGCGTTAGCCACTCTCAAAAATTCCTTAACATGAACACTCAGCATTACTGAATGATATATTATTTACCTAACTGAGAGGTTGAGATATCACAGAGACAGACGTGATATCTCACAACTCCCATTTCAGTAAGGATGTGTGTGCTATTCCATACAAAGTTGTATTTAAATGGATTTTGCATGTTTTTTTTCCCGATCTGTTAGGTTTTCTTCTTAGTTTTCACTTAGTTTTGTCTTTCATGTGTGGCATGCAGAAGCGACTCATGGGTGCTGTGCATCTGTTTGAAAGGAGAGTTCAGTGGCTGAACCGGACGGGAAGCCAGCAGATATGGGGAACCGTGTGTGAGCAGAGGTGAGAACCTTTAGACTGTATAGATATGTTTCTATTATTTCAACAGCACCCTGCAAAGTGGACTTCGCAAATAATCAGTGAACACTGCGTTGGGCTCCTGTGAACTGAACAAAATGCATTGTGGTCAGCACAAACCAGGTTTATTCTTCTAAGACAAATTGAAGTGTTAGTGCATATCGATCTTCCTTTTCCAGCCTTTAACTTTTGTGGAAATCCATTAACGCTGACTTTTTTGCTGGGCCATGCAGGAGGATCCAGGGATGTGGAGTATATCTGTGTTTCTCAGTTGCTTCTTCTCTGTCTTTCTCCATGCAGGGTGCAGGTGCTTCTGGACACGTCTGGGATGAACGCCCACTACCAGCTCCATATCCAGCATGCCATCCGGATACTACTGCAGGAGCAGCTGGCTAATAAACACAGCTTCAATGTCATCGTGTAAGTCAAAGGGTGTTTTCACTCATTTATAGTGAGACAGATTATGATCTGCTTTGTCATTTAGTCCCAAAGTCTCCTTTCCCTTTCTCTCTGGAAGTCATTGTAAAACTTGAGATTTTCCTCTTTATATACCAGTCAAAAGTTCGGGCACAGTTGCACACAGAAAAAGTTCATACAGACATCAGAAATGCAATCCATGTTTACCAAGCAGTTTAAATGAAAACCGATGAGGTTTGTTCTTGCTTTCAAGCACGGTTGAGCTGCTATTGACCATATCTGATGTGCATTGATCAATGCTTAAATGTGAATAAAAGCCCAATTTAAATCCAAAGGCTTGGATTGAACCGTTTGGATGTGAACCCGTTCAATACAGGATGCACCTAATGGAGTTGCTTTACAAAATTACTAAAATGAGGAAAGCTTGAATGCAGACAAATGATAGAGATTGCTTTGATATAATATTTAATTCCCATACACCCATTTGTTTTTTCATATAGTTTTGATGATGGCATTAATCCTAAAATGTGAATAATAGCAAAACTAAAGAATAAGATGTTTCTAGAAATGTTTGAACGGTAGTGTATGTATCTACCTTTCATCAGGATGTCATAGAGTCTGCAGAAAAAGGAACACTATAAAAACTAACATTTGCATCCATACATTCTATTGATATATTAATATTTGAAGTCTAGCGCAAAACAGCTCACGTAAATGCAAATGATAAACTTTATCTGTGTGTGGTACTGCAGCAGAGTTCAGGTACAAGCAGGAATGGACCGGCGATAGGGAGTACTGAGACTTTTCTCGATACACTGGTCGACTTGTGGTCCAGCTGTCAATCCCACATTTAGATACCAAGTAAATAAACAAAGATTTTAATAGGAGAATAAATTCTGACATCATCTGACCGGCCTATTTAAACTGCGGTGGTGGATCCTGGCAACAGTCAACAGTTTTGAAAAATTAACAGGCCTATATATATATATATATATATATATATATATATATATAGTCCACTGTGTGAAACTACTTGTACCAGAAATAAGATGAGCTGCCTAACATTAGTAAAATACTATTAGAGGAATATTTTAGTAATATTAGTCTGTCTATATAAGTACATATCTGTATATGTAGTATTAATGTAATGTATATGTGTATTTAGTATTAATATTTTGAATTAGTTTGTGTGTGTATGTGTGTATATATATGTGTATATGTGTGTATGTATATGTGTATATGTGTGTATATATATGTATATGTGTATATATATGTATGTGTATGTGTATATATGTTTATAAATATGTGTGTATATGTGTATGGTCAACAGTTTTGAAAAATTTATATATATATATATATATATATAACTAGATAATACAGCCAGCAGTAGTTTTTTTTATTAGGTTGATACAAGTGTCAGGCAAATATGGAACCTTTCCTTTTCACAATAGTGGAAAAAGGTTCTTCAGATTCTTCAGAAAAACTGGTTCTTTTCAAAAACCTGAAAGGTTCTTTGGGAACCAAAAATGGTTCTTTAATCTATAGCATCACTGTGAAACCTCCTTTTGGCGCCTTTATTTTTAAAAGTGTCAATTTGTAAGGGTACATTAAATTGGTCCCTACAGTACAGCTGGCCATCCAACACAAATGCCTGTACACACACATCATAAATTGCTTTTCATAAATCAGTGCCCGTGTTCTTTATTAATAACAGAATTACATTTGTATCATCACACAGAGTAAATGAAGGCAGTAATGGGCCAGTATAAAGCCTCTGTGCCATTTATCGTCAGTCTTCAGCAGTTGTCTGCTCCTGTTTTTAGCATAGTCATGAGCGATCTACTTTAGTCTGGCATAAATAGAAGTCTTAATAGATTTTGCCTGGGAGCGCAGCGCACATACCTGCTCTTAATACTGCAGAGCAGCTGCACGGCTTCACTCCAGAGCATTTCATCATGTCACATGACTCAGCCGGTTACCTGTTATTGAATAAATCTATAGTGTGGAGCCACATTTACATACACACATTGTGAATTATTAAAAGTGTCATTAATGTTCTTTGAACTTTGTTTAAAAATGTATTTCCATGACTTGAATGTTTATATATAAAAAGTAAATGAGCAGGATGCCTAACAGGATGGAAATAAATAGCCATTGACAGTGAGCTTATATTAGGACCCTGACTTAAGGTTCATTTTAATGTCCATCCTTTAAAATTGATAATATTTTATTCAATATATTATAGCATATTATGCCATGAAATGTACTACTGTCATCTGTCGAGTTCATTTCCTGTTTGCTGCCACATTCACTATACTGTATGTGATCTTGTCAATGTTCATCACAGTTTTGGATCAGATGTCAAGTCATGGCAGGAGAAGATGGTTCCCTCCACCCATGAAAACCTTCAAGCTGTTTGGCTGTAAGAGGACAGGATGTGCTTTTGACTTCACAGTCTGTTGTTCTCTCTCTCGTTTTCATCACTATTGCTATTGCTCACACTGCACTACCAGATCAGATTTTGATCAAAACGGAGTAAAAATGACTGAAATCACATCTATCATCTATCTCCGAACAAAAAACAAAACAAAAAAACCTTAATAGTAGTTAATCCATTTTAGGCATTTCATTCTGTGTTCACTTAGTCTTAAAATAGAGTTCTGGCATCTAACATCATTATCACATGGCACAGCTGATTGGTTCTCTCCTGCAATATCTCAACATTCAAATATATGACTAGTGCTTGCCGTAGCAGTGCAGCTTGCTTCAGAAACCCTCCACCTTCCCCAGCTCCACCTGTATAGATCTGCTACGAGGTGATTAATGTACGCTATATGGGGGTTATTTCATGTATGTTATATTTGCAGCAGCAGTATTTCTTACATGCTCACAGCAGCATGTTGTGGATGTATTGGCAGTAGCAAGTCTCGGTACTTGCTCTGCCGCAGCAGCAGCGTAGCAGATCTGTTCCGCCAAGACCAAATACATTAACATTGTCATGTACATTACATGCCAATCCCTGAGTTGTCATGACAGAACTCCATGTCAGTTGTGTATTTCATTCTAGTAATTGTTTTTGTTCCCAAGTTCAGTTTAAGTTCATCCCAAAACAGTAAATCTGTGCAGCCTGTGTGCATTTCCTAATATAGCCTGTTCTGCTTTTCAAGGTCTAGAGTTTAATTGAAGCCTAGAAAGAAATAGTCTTTTGGTGATAAATCTTGTTACTTACAAACTCTGAGACCTCTCTGTGTGTGTGTGTGTGTGTGTGTGTTCAGGTGGATTCAGGCAGTCGAGTGTGTCGGAGGTCGTAATACTCTGGCTGCTCTACGGTGCGCTCTAGAGGAGGAAACGCAGGAAGAATCATCACTGACTCAAGGCGTGTACCTCCTCACCACCGGCATGCCAGATCAACATATGGTTAGTTGGACACTCACGGTTCATTTTAATCACTTGCAAGCCAAGGTCCTGTCACACGTAGTTCCCAGGATGTGGATTTGTTGTCTAGTGGCAGTCATGTTTCTTGTTGCCTTCAGTTATTTTGTTGATTTTACAAGAGAACTATTGAATGCAGCCCAATGGAAGACTTTTTCATCCCAAAAATAAAAATTTGCTTAAAATTGACTCAGGCCATCCGTGATGTAGATGTAGATGAGTTTACTCTTTCATTGGAATGGTTTTGGAGAAATCACTTGCTCACTAATGGATCCTCTGCAGTGAATGGGTGCCGTCAGAATGAGAGTCCAAACAGCTGATAAAAACATCACAATAATCCACAAGTAATCCACACCACTCCAGTCCATCAATTAGGGCGGCACAATTAATCGAAATTAAATCGCAAAGGCGATGAAACACGATTAGGCAGAAGCTGTGATTGTCATGCATATCTTTCAGTGTATCTATCTATAATGAAATGCTAATCGACATAGCCTTTATCACTGCTTAGAATACAATGAAATATTGTGTGCCTTAATTATTCTGTGTAAGAAGCCACGTCATCTCACAGAAGGATTTATTTCAAACACTCGACTGACGTTATGAGGTGAGTTTGGAGTAAAAATATGTTATTAAATGTGGTATTTTCACATGCTTTCAGATGGAGCAGCATTTACTACACAGAGCCGTAGTTCACTGGTGCCGTCAGAATGAGAGTCCAAACAGCTGATAAAAACATCACAATAATCCACAAGTAATCCACACCACTCCAGTCCATCAATTAGGGCGGCACAATTAATCGAAATTAAATCGCAAAGGCGATGAAACACGATTAGGCAGAAGCTGTGATTGTCATGCATATCTTTCAGTGTATCTATCTATAATGAAATGCTAATCGACATAGCCTTTATCACTGCTTAGAATACAATGAAATATTGTGTGCCTTAATTATTCTGTGTAAGAAGCCACGTCATCTCACAGAAGGATTTATTTCAAACACTCGACTGACGTTATGAGGTGAGTTTGGAGTAAAAATATGTTATTAAATGTGGTATTTTCACATGCTTTCAGATGGAGCAGCATTTACTACACAGAGCCGTAGTTCACTGAGAAGATACGCAAACAGCTGTCATTATCGCGAACGATTTCGTCGATTTCATAATCTTACGATTATATCGCCTGCGATTATGAACGCAATTTTGCGTAGCTTGTCAGAGAACTACGGCTCTGTGTAGTAAATACTGCTCCACCTGAAAGCAGATGATGGAGATTTACTACTAATCACAGAACCGACTTTACTGACAAAATGTGCATGACAATCACGATTAATCGTGTTCGATTAATCGTGCAGCCCTACCATCAATTAACGCCTTGTGCTGTGTGTTTGTAATGAACAAATCCATCATTAAGATGTTTTTAATCTTCAAACTATTGCTTCCGGGTAAAAGATTAGTCTTCCATAATATTGCTTTCTCCAATGAAAAAAATCATATCATCTGAATCAGGAGAGTAATATGCACAGTCAAAAACATCTCGAAACAAATATGTCAGTGATGTGGGAGGACAACAGGGGATGGACTTTTTCCCACTTATTATGGATTATGGACTCATGTTTTGGCCAGAAGCGATGGTTTAAAGTTAAAATGCCTTGATGGATTTTTTTTTTCTTTTCTTTTTTTACAAGCACGCAGCTTTTTGCTTCACAAGACATTAGTCGATGAACTGGAGTCGTTTGGATTATTTGTGGATTATGGTGATGTTTTTATCAGCTGTTTAGGCTCTCATTCTGACGGCACCCATTCACTGCAGAGGATCCATTGGTGAGCAAGTGATGGAATGCTACATTTCTCCAAAACTGTTCTGAAACTCAGAAACTGTTCAGAAATTCATCTACATCTTGGATGGTCTGAAGGTGAGTAAATCTTCATAAAATTTTCATTTTTCAAGAGCCCACTTGAGACCCCTTTGTCTCTCATAGGACACAGTTAACAGCAATGTACAATGGCATGGGCTATTATATGAAGTATCTTTCTTTGTGTCATTGTCACATGGAGGATTTTGTAGACATTGGAGATAAGTTTTTGTTGTTAGTGTTTTGGCCGGAATGTTATTTGAACATAAACATGCAAATAAATCAATCTTTTAATTGGACGAATTCATTGACATAATTAAAACTCATACGTAAAACTCTTTATTTAATTCATTTTTCAAAATATAGTTAATATAAATGATACACATATAGAATAGTGTCCAATGAAAAATTAACCATTTTTAAATGGAAAAATAAATGGACATTTTAAAACTGTTTAGTTAATGTTTTAAAGTGTGTTTTAAAAAATATTCTATTTATTATTAAATAAAAAATTACTTAAATTCATGTATTCAAATAGTTCAATACAATAATGTGTATTAATTTGTCAATTTAAAAACTGCTTTACTTCTTTCAAATTTATGTTCGAATTAAATATTACATAATTAGTCCTAGTCCTCCATATTATTCTTCAAATTTTGATATAGTGATGAATTGCTAAAAACCATATTGAACCCTTCAAAAATGACCGTACTGCCCTCTGCTGTTCAGAAATAAAAGGTGCCTTTTCTGTATTTTGATACAGATGTATCATCACTTTTTTTCTTCTGCAACCTAATATCAAAAAGCATTTTTGATACTCTCATCCTCAGGTTTCTGTCACTGCTTATGTGTCTGAGCGCTGCAGCGCAACAAACCTGAATCTCCACGTGTGCCTGTTCACCGGAGAGGAGGACACTGCCCGCTGCCCTCTGCCCCGTTACGCCACCCGGACTGAAACTGCCCGGGCTTTGAGCGGCCTTGCCCACGCGGGCAACGGACGCTTCCTTTGGATGACTGACACTGGTGAGAAGCTAGCTGACTGACTTCTTCAGGGAAGATGAGTTTGAAGTAGAAGGTAGGACAGAATTACAGGAACTGCAGTAAAACGAAGTTTTAGATTAGAATGGACGGACAGTCCCATCATTCAGTTTTATTTTGTTGTTCAGCTTTTGAGATGGTTCCTAAAAGTCCCTAGAGCTGCTGTTTACTTGAGCTCTGAATGTTGTGCTGCTTTTGTCTCTGTCATGTGTACAACACATGGTGCCTGAACCCAGTGCAACTTACAATGGGAAGTCTTGTGTTTGTGTGTGTGCAGTGGAAAATATGAGCCTCTGCCTCGTCTTTCCCTGCAGGCATCGTGGAGAGTGATGACATCAGTGCCCTAATTGGAGAAATGGAGACGGCCGTTAATTATTTTCAGAAGGTGAGTTCAGAGCAGTGTGTTCCGGGCGCTTTTCTCACATGATCTGTACGTGACCTGTGTCCACAGTGTCTAAATAATTCATGGGAACCCGAAGAAAAGTTTGAAACACCTGCAAGATATGATCAGTTGTTGATGTTTAGAAAGGTTCATCCAGGTCTTTGTGTTCATTCAAAACCAGCTGGATTTGCTGAAAATGTTTCATTGCTCATCCGAGCTGCGTCATCATCTCTTCAATCAAGTCCAGTTGCTGTTAAAGTCACAGTGAAATCACTAAATCAATGAATGATTGAGACCGTTTACTTTCTTAATGCGTACACTCCAGTTAAAATATTTTGGGGTCAAGATTTTTTATTTTATTTTTTTTAAGAAATTAATATTTTTTATTCAGCGAGGATGCATTAAATTAATCAAAAGTGACAGTGAAGACATTGATGTTACGAAAGATTTCTATTTGAAGTAAATGCTGTTTTTGAACTTTCTGTTCATTAAAGATGAATAAAAGCGGTTTTCAACAGTGATAATAATGAGAAATGTTTCTTGAGCAACAGATCAGCATATTAGCATGATTTCTGAAGGATCACGTGACACTGAAGACTGGAGTAATGATGCTGAAAATTCAGCTTGGCGTCACGGGAATAAATTACATTTTAAAATATATCCAAATAGAAAACAGTTATTTTATATTGTAATAATATTTCACATTTTTACTCTCTTTACTGCATCAAAAAAATCAGCTTTGGTCCGAATAAGAGACTTTTGGAGATAAATGTTATTTCAAAGACTAAATCCCAAAGTTGGATTTTTGTAATCTTTCATCAATATGTATTTATTTGCTCCACCTTAAGCAAAACAGCTTTTCCACCCCCTTTTCACAATCCAGTAAATACCCAGTAGATAAAGTCTCACCCTACATTTTTCCATCAGATTACCAACGTAAAATGGATCGCTAACACCGTTTCATGTTGACTATATATTACCTGCAGTTGTGCCAGAAACATTACCACATGAGATCCACACATATGCATTATTGGCTCATATTGTGTCATATAGTGTTGATTGTCCTATCTAGGTGTTATCTTCAAGAAATATCCAAAATCAAAGAGTGTGCGCAAGTCTATCGCTACTGTTAAACTACCAAAACATGAAGACATCTGTTCAACTAAACAGGTACTGTACTGTATTACCAGTACCATTATATTTGTTTAATAAACTTTTTGCTAATTCCTCCAAAGTTTTTAAGCTACAGAAATTGGCACACCTTTTCTGTTCTGACCTGATCAGACCTGTATTTTTCACGTTACAGGTATGTACAATATGTAAGATTTTTTTTATTAAAATATCCAAAAACCACTAGAACAGAAAGCTCACACCATACCTGTAGGATGAGGAAATTTGGCTGTTTTCCAAGAGTAATACACTCAAAAGCTCAGCAGCATGGTTTGTGACGTGCTGAATTTGAGTCTGTTGACAGGTGTCTCAGTGACTGATCTGTGTGTGTGCGTCAGGTTTAATATGCTGGCGTTCTCTGAAGAGGTGCGGATGTGGCAGCCGGCGTTGGTTCAGTCCACAGAGGAGCTGTGTGTGGAGGCAGTGCAGTGGTTGAATCAGCTCAGCACACATGGAGCTTCCTCCACACTACAAGCACTGCAGGTACTCCGGCAACAATACTCACAAGAACTACTTTTGTATGTACCGTTATTACACTTAGCTTTATGGAAAAACATGGCCCTCTTCTTTGCACTCAGTTCTTCTTGTGTTTGTAAGTGTGACTGTGTGTCGTGCATCTTTGCTCCAGACAGGCTGTAGCTTTGCAGATGCAAGTAATACACTCAAAAGCTCAGCAGCATGGTTTGTGACGTGCTGAATTTGAGTCTGTTGACCGGTGTCTCAGTGACTGATCTGTGTGTGTGCGTCAGGTTTAATATGCTGGCGTTCTCTGAAGAGGTGCGGATGTGGCAGCCGGCGTTGGTTCAGTCCACAGAGGAGCTGTGTGTGGAGGCAGTGCAGTGGTTGAATCAGCTCAGCACACATGGAGCTTCCTCCACACTACAAGCACTGCAGGTACTCCGGCAACAATACTCACAAGAACTACTTTTGTATGTACCGTTATTACACTTAGCTTTATGGAAAAACATGGCCCTCTTCTTTGCACTCAGTTCTTCTTGTGTTTGTAAGTGTGACTGTGTGTCGTGCATCTTTGCTCCAGACAGGCTGTGGCTTTGCAGATGCTGTGGGTCTGTATCTGATCACTGATGGGAGATGTGACTCCAGCCACAGTCGGATACTGACAGAGATTGAGACACTGAGACAAGAGAAGGACTTCACCGTCCACACCATCGCAGTCAACTGCCATGACAGGTTAACCTGCATTGGATATGAATGTGGCCACTTGTATCGATCCTTCGTCAAGATTATTTTGTATTTATTCTGGCATTTTTTTGTTTGGTCCCATCACAGAAAATCTAACTTTAGCAGCATATGTTATATGTTTAATTGCAATCGTTGCAGTGAGTTTCTGAAGAGTTTGGCCCATAAAACAGGAGGACGATTCCATCAGGCTCCTGAAAACACAGATAGAGCTCTTATCAGAAAACTCCTGTCAGATCCGTGCAGTGTGGTATGTACATGCTGCCTAGTGGTGATTTCAAAGAGAAGGGCTCAACATTTCTTCAATATAATTATAGTGCATGAGGATTATTTTGAATTGGTTTGTAGTTTTCAACCTGTTCAGATGCATTTCTGCAGATTCATTGTTGTGAAGTGATGTGCTGATTCTTGTGTGTCCTGAAACAAAGGACCCAGTGCTTCCAAAATGTGAGGGGGATGATCTAAGGAAACTATCCGAAGAGATCGAGAAGCTGAGATTGTTCCAGAAACAAGCTAAAGCGTTCAGGTTTGTGTTCACTCAGTGCTTATGCTGGGATACACAGGCCTAGTGTCGATGTGTAATGATTGGTGTTATTGTAGACTATTTAATATGGTGATTTGTGTTTTGTTTTCGTAGGGAAACTAGTTTGGAGTCGAGGAACCAGACGGGAACATAGACATTGATGTCCACGCTTGTTCAAATCACGACAGCTTTATTGATTCAAAAATATCTCTGGCAAAGGCCTAATGTAAAAGAATTTGTTAAAAATTAAATATGGCTTAATAATACTTTGGAAACATCGTAAATAGATATAAAAATCATGGTTAAAAGAAAAAACCTTGAAATTTTATGTGTAGCATTAACTCCTTAGCATTCTGGGAAAATGTAACTAAGCACAAAATTGGAACGCTAACAGGTTAAATGTTTTTTTTGAAATTTTTTTGTACATGAAATTGTACTTCATGAGCAACAAAAAAAAAAGTGTAAAAACAAATGTATTGTCAATGTAATGTAGCATCAAAACAGTGGGGGGGGTGGGGGGGGTGGGAAGCAACTAATCTGTATTATCGAAAAATAAAATAGATACATTAAAATATATGCAAAATACATTTAACTAAATGTATATTGCCAATATATTTTATTGATATACTATATTTTAAACGTAATGTATGTCTTTTTGTGTGAACGTTTGTTAAAAGACAATTTTCTGTCCTTTTGCAGGATAAACGATAAAGCTGTTTGAATTCCAGATTTGAAAATTCCACCGCTTACATGACGTCACAAATATTTCGAACGCTTATATATTGCCAATATATTTTATTGATATACTATATTTTAAACGTAATGTATGTCTTTTTGTGTGAACGTTTGTTAAAAGACAATTTTCTGTCCTTTTACAGGATAAACGATAAAGCTGTTTGAATTCCAGATTTGAAAATTCCACCGCTTACATGACGTCACAAATATTTCGAACGCTTCAAAGAGACGCTCGTCAGTGTGACGTCACTGAGCCTGGCTATAAACACTGGGCTTTTGTTCATGATGAGAGCAGCGCTGGTTACACTTAGGTTCCGGGGTTCACGTGCCCACCCTGGGTTTAAAGGTGGCCTGAATGCTTTAGTTTAGATCAGACTGGGGGTGGGATGGATGGGTTTAGCATCAGGGACCCCCAGGGCACCTTGTGAAGCTACAGTAGAAGGAGGGCAAAGCTTGCAATGTGGGTGGGTGGGAAGCAGGGGGCGCCCTAGATCATAACCATCTTTAATACTGTGTTTCCAAAGATAGACTCAGCATCACTCTTCACACTTCACATTACACGTCTCACACAACAAAGTACCAGAAAGTGTCACGGTATTACCATTTTCTACACTCTTCACACCACACATTACACACGTCATAACAAAATACCAAAAAGTAGGCTTCCATATTATCATGGCGTTTTGGACTATCATATCTGTAGCATTTCATTTAAAATGATCATAAGATAAAGATAAAGTTGTGTTAAATGCTCGGTGTAAATATAGCTACATTTGTATTACAGAAATAGAAATGCACTGATTTCAATCATCGGTGAAGACGCCATGAGCCAGAGAAAGAGAAGGTCTTTTTTTCAAACGTTTTTAATATTCAGTGATGAAAAGTTATTTAGTGTATTAGTTTGAAAAATGCAGCATATTCTATGGTCTGTCTATTGTAAGATTGCTTTTTATTCAATGTATCCATCACATACAGGTACAACTAAGACTGAACAGTAGTTAGCCTAGTTTTAATTTGTTTATCTTGATGTACATTTTTTTTTTTTTTTTTACTTATGTATAGGTAAACATTTATATATATAGTATATTTATAATCAAAATCAGTCAGTAGGTTAGTTGTGTATAGGCTTTTACTGCTTTACTGTATAGGTTTTTTACTGTTTTACTTCACTGTTGTATGCCTGTATTTATGTAACACCGTGGTCCTGTGAGGCACGGCATTTCGTTCCACTGTATGTCCTCACATGCAGCAGAATGACAATAAAGCTCAACTTGACTTGACTTGAAATTTGAAGAGTTCATTTGCAAAAACCGATAACTCACAGGTTCATCAAGTTCGTCGAAATGATCCTCGATCACTTTTAGTCAGCTTTCTTTGACGAAACTCCTCTCAGTTAGCCTAGCACGTCTTTTCAAAGTGAATGTAGCCTTGTCACCTGACCTGAATACAGCGCGCTGATTCGCTGAAATGGACTTATCGGCTTCTGTTCAAAAACAACAAGGGTGCATCCAGTGGGGACATAGTTATGGATTATAATGACTTATACTGTCTTTTTACGCGTTGCAAAGAGAAAGGAAAAATTGAAATCGCATCATATGACCCCTTTAATATACTTTAATGTCCATAGAGGTAGCCTATTTTATTTTTATTATTTTTTCATTTTTTGCTGACGGATAAGGTATTATTATGTATTTTGTGCTTCTTGTTCTTCTTTTTCTTCCTCTTCTTTTTATTGAATATTGTTCGATTTAAAAATGAATGACGGAATCATTGAAAGAAGAGCTGCTGAAGCGGTCGCTTCAATTTATTATTTTATTATTGATATATCAGTATTTGAGACATGTGTAGGCTATCATTTCCATTATAGTTCATGTTTCCACATTCTTACTAATTACAGAGTAATTTTAATTAACTAAATGCATTTGGTGTGTAATTATTTCTGCATGTAAATACTCGTTCTTGTTATCAATATAGTAATTCATCATAGTAACCTGTAAGTCTGTGTTGTATGTAACTATAACTTATAGAAATGAAAATGTTTTGGCATACTGTGTGGTCTACAGTATACTGACACTAATATGATTTTCAAAGACAAATGTCTTTCTATTTGCAATGTTTTGTTCATACATACATGCATAGGGATTTTTAAACCAGAAAGGAACCAAGACCCTTTATGGCATAATATATATATATATAAAAGTTTTGTTCCTAAAGAATGTGCAAGATTCACATTTGGTAACGGTTTCAAATGATGTTGAATCATAATTTGCAATGTAAGCTTAGAGGTCCTATCAAGGTTAACCTGGAATTCTATTAGATTTGTTGTTTTATCATAATTCTTGTCTTGCTACTGGAAAGTTTATGTAAATTGCACATGGAGATTTAAAATCCTGAAATATCATTTGCTGTCCCAACAGAGGCCTTTATTTATGTTATTCATCATAAAAAAGTAATTCTCTGTTTTAAAAGGTCTTGTGTTTGAACCATAAAAATATGTCACACCAACAAACACTAAATTGTTATTGGATTTTATTGGATCAGGGTGTGCTAGAAATTGTGAAAATGTTCCCAATTACTGTTTTCCAATAACTTTACAAAAAAAATTGAAATGTGAGAAAGGTTTTTATATTTACATATTTTCTTATACTTGTGAATGCCATTGCCAAAAATTCACACTGATTGCTGGGACAAAAAAACAAAAAAAGTTTATGCAGATTTATTTTGGATTCATCTGCTCGGCATTTTCTCACTAACTCTTTCCTTGCCTATCACTCAGTGTTGGTCAACAGCATCAGATACAAAAGTCATTTCAAATATTTATTATTAATATTAACAAATCTAGCTTTTTAAGAATGAATTGAGACTACAGAAAGTGTTCAAACTGGCTCTCGAAACACCATCTATTAAATACAATGGTGATGACAGTTTATTTTGTAAATATCTTGTGTAAAGCATATTCATTTATTAATTTCAGTTTTAAATAGAGAGGCCGTTTTATTTTCTGATGTTGCTGACTACAAATTAGATCTATTTAAAATTATGCCAACTATCTAAAAATCCCCAAATCCCAAACTTTAAGACTTTTTTAGTGTCATAACTTTGACAAAAATATGAGCACATTTACCAATTTACATGTGGAATAAGGAAAAAGAATCATCAGGATAAAGGCTGACCGTATCCATTGATTTATAAATGTTTTCATAGCAGATGTGAAACCTTATGAAAGAGCTAAATAGTTTATTTGAAAACATATGTTTTTTATTAATTACAGTTTTTCTTGATCTCTCATATGTATGACTTTCTTCTGTGGAACACAAAAGAAGATATTTCTGAAAAATGTAAAGAAAGCTCATGGAGAATAGTGTTGTTTTGGGCTCCACTGATTTGTATTAAATGGACAGAAGCAGTTGAAAGATACAGGTTTGAGTAAATGATAACAAAAGTTTCATTTTAGGGTGAACTATTCCTATTAGATTTATATATATATATATATATTTCATGTATTATGATTGAGTTATAGTCTGAAGACAGGTGGTTTTATGCAATTTTAGGGCGGTCAAATCACTCTTAAGTGATCATTTCTGTGGAATTTGAAATGTTGCCTAGTGTGTTGTCCCATGTCTCAAAACTCAATGAGCAGTTTTTGGTAACGGTTAGTGCCCAGCATGTAAGGAAAAGTTTGGCATCAGCCTCTTTACATGGAGAGGTGAATTATGCATCCATTCACTCGCTCATAGGCAGATCTGTTTCACAGGGGCCGGCCATTCATTAGACTCTCACTGTCTCTGATCGTTCCCAGACTGGACGCAGTGGAGGTATCTGAAGCCACGTGTGCATTATGAAGGAGAACGGGTCCTTGTGTCAGATGGAGCAGCTGCTCTGTGCATGTCTGCTAGACTGCCACCGGCAGACCCACACCCGCAGCGCCGCAGGGGCCCCGATCCGACACAGAGCCAACGGGGCGGTGGGGGCCTTGTGCAACAGTCCCGACTGTGTGGTGGCCACCAGGCTGGAGGGCTCCGAGCAGGGCCGGCATGGGGCTGGCAGGGTGCTGGTCACCGGAGGGGCCGGATACTTCGGATTCAGACTGGGCCACACTCTGGCAGGCCAAGGGGCTACAGTCTTTCTGCTGGACCTCCACAAGCCGCCTTGGGATATCCCTGATGGAGCCGTCTTCCAGCAGGTAAAGCGAAACCGGAGAAGACAGCATTTGTAATATAGGGTTGGGGGGGCGGCTGGGCAGCGGACTGTAACAGAAGCAGATGGGTGCCAGGTGCAGAGGACGCAAGGTGAGGCAGCACAGCGGCCTCGAGTTTCAGCACAAGTTTTTTAATTGTTTTAAAATTGTTAATAGTCTTAAACCAGGTCTCTGCAGGTTTAGCTCAACTTCTTTTGTTTTTATTGGTTATGGTGTATGAGGATCACATGGTTGGATCAGTGGTTCTTAACTGGTGGGTTGTGGCCCCAAAAATGTGTGCCCGGTCTGTTCTTACAGCAGGGGGAAAACAATGCTCAATGCAACTAACAATATCATTGTTCATGGTTAGGATAGCAAAATAAAAAAGGAGAAAACATGATTGTGCGTCCAATCAAACAACATGGTATTACTTGATAAAAAATTACTTGCAATGCAAAAAGTACACTGACAGAGATTATTTCTGCCAACCAGTGACACTTTGAATACTGGAATAGCTTGAATTAATTACTAGGGACCACTTATTTGGTTTTCGATACGATACCGATACAAAGGCCAGTATTGTTGGTTTCGATATCGGTATCGATCTTGATACTGATACGATCAGAGGCGGACAGTAACTAAGTACACTTTTTGAGTATCGGTACTTTACTTGAGTATTATTTTTTCTGGAAACTTATGACTTTAACTTCACTACATTTGAAAGGCAAATATTGTACTTTTCACTTCACTACATTTCTATCAAGGTCCTCGAAGTAGAAAGTCGTTACTATGTAGCAGCTTTGAAAGTCAGTGGGTGATTTTTTTTCTTCTCTAAAAACTGTCTTTTTTTCAGATAGTTTATCAGTAGTCACTCTTGTAGGGCTACATGAAGTGATTTCCCAGCATTTTTGAACACTGACCAGTTGCAAATGTGATATTTATTTACAACAATTCAATAATAAGAAGTTAATATTGTGGTATATATTAGACACAATATTGTCTGATTTTGCTAAATTGTGTAAGTGAAAATATTACCTATAAAGCCACAGAAGAACTGTGCGTCTCCTAATAAAACACAAAAGGTGTTGGACTTGAAGCAGCACTGCACAGATCATTCTGTGTGTGACATCAAAGTACAGCGAGAGTGATTAGACAGCATTTTTAAAAATTGGGTTTTGATGTCAAAAAAGTCTTGCTGTTTTGCATTTTTGTTAAAGCAGTGTTGCTGTTGTAAAGTTATACAGCTACAGTTGTGTTGCTGGGTTTTACAGCAGGTTTGATTTTTTTTTCCATCCTTATCACTCTGTATTTACAGGATTTCACTGTCCACTCTGTTCAAATGTGGATGAATGGCTACACATAGATGTGTGCACACTGTCAGTGCTGTGTGAGAGCACTACCATCCTGCTTTTGTTGGGGTGTTAATTTTTTTCCCCCATAGGTTTTTAACATTCTAAAAGCTCTTTATTCCAAAGATACTACAAGCTAGTCAGTGTATTCAGCAGGTGTAATGTATTGTAAGTTGCTTCAGAAGTATTGTAAGTATTACGTACAACAATAAAACATAACATAAAAAATGTAATTTACTTTTGGTACTTAAGTACTTTTAAAAGCAAGTACTTCTGTACTTTTACTTAAGTAAAAATCTGTCTTTACAACTTTTACTTGTAGTGGAGTAATATTTGACCAGCAGTATCTGTACTTTCACTCAAGTAATGGAGTTGAGTACTTTGTCCGCCTCTGGATACGATACTTTTAAACTGAACTTTTAAATTATGAAATGTATTAAATTATTAAACAATTAAAATGGGTAATGAAATCCACTTAACTTTATATTTTAAATGCATTTTAATGTATACGCTTTAATTGCAACTTATTAGGTTATATTTTTGTTCACACATGGTTAAAATATGTTTACTGTAGTGGTAACCATGGAAATCTACAAATAGCTGAAGTACGGTCACTTTAGTAAAACCATGGTTCATTTTCATAAGGGACTGCCAGTGACAGGCTGTTGCACGCATTAAAATGCAACCTTTTTATTCTGACAGTGTACACTCTAAAAAAGCAGCTGTTGGGTTGTTTTGACCCAGCTTTTGGGTTGTTTTGACCCAGCTGTTGGGTTGTTTTGACCCAGCTGTTGGGTTGTTTTGACCCAGCTGTTGGGTTGTTTTGACCCAGCTGTTGGGTTGTTTTGACCCAGCTGTTGGGTTGTTTTGACCCAGCTGTTGGGTTGTTTTGACCCAGCTGTTGGGTTGTTTTGACCCAGCTGTTGGGTTGTTTTGACCCAGCTGTTGGGTTGTTTTGACCCAGCTGTTGGGTTGTTTTGACCCAGCTGTTGGGTTGTTTTGACCCAGCTGTTGGGTTGTTTTGACCCAGCTGTTGGGTTGTTTTGACCCAGCTGTTGGGTTGTTTTGACCCAGCTGTTGGGTTGTTTTGACCCAGCTGTTGGGTTGTTTTGACCCAGCTGTTGGGTTGTTTTGACCCAGCTGTTGGGTTGTTTTGACCCAGCTGTTGGGTTGTTTTGACCCAGCTGTTGGGTTGTTTTGACCCAGCTGTTGGGTTGTTTTGACCCAGCTGTTGGGTTGTTTTGACCCAGCTGTTGGGTTGTTTTGACCCAGCTGTTGGGTTGTTTTGACCCAGCTGTTGGGTTGTTTTGACCCAGCTGTTGGGTTGTTTTGACCCAGCTGTTGGGTTGTTTTGGCCCAGCTGTTGGGTTGTTTTGTTGTCAAAACAACCCAATAGCTGGGTTTGTCCCTTTTTAACCCAGTGCTGGGTTATATTTAATGTGCTCTAATAAGCATTGCTCTGGGCTGCCGTTCCTAAAAGCATCAATGGATTCTTAATATACTTTTGGGAAGCGCAGCCCTGTTTGAATGCACTGTCAGAAGTGAGTGAACGCTCTCTGTGATTGATTGGTTCTGTCTTGCAATATTTGCATGTGTTCAGATGAGCAGGAAATGTTCTGTCCTGCACAATTATTCGCTAACATAGCTTATTTGTCCAATTCAATGCATATAAGTACAGTGGGGCAAAAAAGTATTTAGTCAGCCACCAATTGTGCAAGTTCTCCCACTTAAAAAGATGAGAGAGGCCTGTAATTTTCATCATAGGTATACCAATGCACTGTCAGAAGTGAGTGAACGCTCTCTGTGATTGATTGGTTCTGTCTTGCAATATTTGCATGTGTTCAGATGAGCAGGAAATGTTCTGTCCTGCACAATTATTCGCTAACATAGCTTATTTGTCCAATTCAATGCATATAAGTACAGTGGGGCAAAAAAGTATTTAGTCAGCCACCAATTGTGCAAGTTCTCCCACTTAAAAAGATGAGAGAGGCCTGTAATTTTCATCATAGGTATACCTCAACTATGAGAGACAAAATGAGAAAAAAAAATCAGAAAATCACATTGTAGGATTTTTTAAGAATTAATTGGTAAATTCCTCTGTAAAATAAGTATTTGGTCACCTACAAACAAGCAAGATTTCTGGCTCTCACAGACCTGTAACTTCTTCTTTAAGAGGCTCCTCTGTCCTCCACTCGTTACCTGTATTAATGGCATCTGTTTGAACTTGTTATCAGTATAAAAGACACCTGTCCACCCTTAGTATCGATGTTTTTTATTTGAGAATCGATACTTACGATACTTGCATCAGGATCGATACGCCCATCCCTTTTAATTACATTTGATTACATTTAGAAACTAAAATTGTCAATTTTTGTATTCAGTCTATGTCCCATAAATAATTTTTCTGATTTTTTTTGGATCAAAGTAATATGAATAACTTTCATGTTGGATTTGATGAGCATTTTTGTAACTTTTTTTTGTTGTTGTAACTAATGCTTTTAATAACATGTCCAATGTAAAATGTGTGTACTGAAGCAAAACCAGTTGAGAACCAGTAAGTAGTGATTTAGGCAAATTGTTGTGGTTCTATCTAGGCCAAATCTAAGCTAATTAATAAAGCTTTAATTAATAAACCCCAGTCAAGTATAATCTGAATATTCATTCCCAGTTTTATAAAAATTCAGAAGAAAATTGGAAGAAATATATATATCATAATGAATAATTTTATATTGAGAATATAACATTTTATATATATATTTTTTTTTACATAGCTGTTTGAATGGGCATTGTTATGATTCAGTACATCTGTGTGTGTTTTACTTCAAGATTGATATCCGGGATTATGATGCCCTGTATAAGATCTGTGCAGGAGTGGATGTTATTTATCACACTGCTTCCTATGGGATGTCCGGACCGGAACAGGTCAGTATGTTAGTATATACATGTAGAGCATTTTAGTGTGCATAAAACAAGCCATATCACATCATTAAAATTGCTTGCTAAATGATTTAAGTTCATCAGAACTCATATTGGCAGTCTTATGGGTGAAACTTCAATTAGCTTTTAAAGTTCAATTATCTTAAAATACTTTCAAATCATTCTTTTATTATATCTTGTAGGCTACAGGATGGATAATACTAGCTTCAAAGTTAAGTGTACTTATGTGTTTAATAATATCTTTATTTAGGACTTGTCTCCTACTCATATTTTAACTTCCCCAATATAATATATTTAGAAATACTGTCAAAATCGGTAAAATAAGTACTTTATAAAAATTATATTTTCTATTAATTATATATTTGTGTTAGAACTGCTATTTTCTCTTGACTTTTTTTCATTTGATGTTAAGATGTTATGTATGTTATGGTCACTAAAGACCAGGGGCCTGTACCATGAAGCCAGATTAGCTGGCTAGCCAGGTAAGTTTCAGTTTAGTTTGCACCAATCCTGGGTTTTAGGTACCATGAAAGTGGCTTGGCTTTTAGCGGTGTTCATTGCCATGGTAACTTACACTCCACGGCTAAACTGCTCCAGGGCAGGTTACGTTCTGAGTTAGAGATCTCAAACTGAAATTGGACCAATCAGATGTGAGAAGTGACACATGTCTGACACAAAAAAGTCACTCCCCCAGTTTCTCTTGCTCCAAATTAAAGGTCACTAGTACTAAAAAAAAATTGTCTGGCTTTAATGATAATTACTTAAGAGTTATTTTATATGATTTATATTATTATTAATCCATTACACACAAGATATTTTAGTTTAACAGTTATTATAAATCATTTATTTTAAATGAATGTTAATATATACAGATCGAATGTAATATAAATAAGCTGTAGAATCAATAGATAACGCTTTTTAAAAATATGCTGTATATTTCCAACTATATAAACTAACTTAAGTTTCACTTGTGACTGAGCAAGATCATTTCTTTTATTTGTCCTCTTTCATGAACAAGTACTTTTTTCATTGTAAATGCATTTAAATTCATCATATTCTTCAATCTCTTAACCTTTAGCGAAACATTTAACCTTTAACCAAGGCTCGTGATTGGCTGTTCGCCAGTGATGTCACACAGGCGCTCCACAAACTCAGGATCAAAGCCTGAGTTGACAAAGAAAGTTGATGATCAGCATCATGGTACCAACAAAGCCGGATTGGAGTGGTTTGGTTTTGTCAACTCGAAACTAATCCTGTAACTCTGAATTTGTTCATCTACCATCGTGGTACAGGCCCCCGTTCACACCAAGCATGATAACTATAAAGATGTCATTTTAAAAATCTTTCTCAATATTAAAGGGGTCATATGATGCTTTTTTTAAAGATCATTATTTGGGGTATTTGGTGTAACAGAATATGTTGACATGCTTTAATGTTAAAAAAAACACATTATTTTTCAAATACTGTACATTATTGTAGGTCCTCTATGCCCCGCCTCTCTCAAGAATAGCATAGTTCACACACCACAACTATAACGACAACGATACAGAGGAACGATATAGTTGTGATTACTTTCCAGCTGATGAACGATAAAGCACTGACAGCCAATCAGAATCTATCCTGCTGTAACGAGCTCAAGAAGCTATCATCTGCAACTTTTATTTCGCATCTTGAAGAATATGATGAGAAATTAATTTTCACATTGGAATCTTTTGATGACAGTTTGAGACAGAATCTTTTCAGACATTGTTAAAGTCTCTTCTGAAACTTTAGAACCTCTGAGAAGCTGGAAACATTTTCTCTCTTTCATCTTGTAAGAAACAAGTGAGATAATGGAGACAATTTTCATTATTTTATTTTAAATGTATATTAAATGCAATTACTTGAACCCTAGAGTGCTTTTTAGGACTTAAGCACCTTTTTAAATGTAATTCCATAATTGTGATTGTCTATTTATAGACTTCTGTTGTGATGTTCTGTTGTGTATATATATATCTTCAAGTACAGTTTTTTTTAAACAAATGTTTAAGATCTGAAGTAAACTACAAGTGCACATTTAAAACAATTAAGCATGCTTATTTGAGTTGATTCAAAGAATAAAAATATTGTTTAGATGATATTGCCCATCTATTAATTTTTTTATGAATATGAAAAAATAGATATTGAACAAATTGCTTATGTAATAATGAGGTGTTGTTGCTGTAGGTGGTGGTCTTCTACACACATGTGTCCTGCGCCCTTCTGGTATCTACGGTCCTGGAGAGAGAAGACATTTACACAGGGTGATGGTGAGTCCACTTATTCCACTCTCTCCATCTTTATCCTTTGCCTCCTTTACTCTCTCTCTCTCTCTCTCACACACACACACACACACACACACACACACACTCACGCACGCACGTACGCACACGCACACATGCACACACAGGTCCCAGACAGTTGTACTCTGCAGCCTCAGCTTTGCCAATGTGCCCAGAGCTGTACAATATTAATGGAGTCTGTGAGAGGCTCCTGTTACAGACTGTGCTTCAGCTGTACCCCTACATACAGACACATGACTGTCTGTGCTTCTGCTGTGCCTCTACATACAGACACATGACTGTCTGTGCTTCAGCTGTGCCTCTACATACAGACACACGACTGTCTGTGCTTCAGCTGTACCTCTACATACAGACACATGACTGTCTGTGCTTCTGCTGTGCCTCTACATACAGACACATGACTGTCTGTGCTTCTGCTGTGCCTCTACATACAGACACATGACTGTCTGTGCTTCTGCTGTGCCTCTACATACAGACACATGACTGTCTGTGCTTCTGCTGTGCCTCTACATACAGACACATGACTGTCTGTGTTTCAGCTGTGCCTCTACAGACATATACATGACTGTCTTTGCTTCTGCTATACTACATACAGACACACAACTGTCTGTGTTTCTGCTGTACCTCTACATACAGACACATGACTGTCTGTGCTTCAGCTGTACCTCTACATACAGAGACATGACTGTCTGTACTTCTGCTGTATTTCTACAGACATACATGACTGTCTGTGTTTCTGCTGTCACTCTACAGACATATACTACATGACTGTCTGTGCTTCAGCTGTGCCTCTACATACAGACACACGACTGTCTGTGTTTTAGCTGTACCTCTACAGACATATACACGACTGTCTTTGCTTCTGCTATACTACATACAGACACACGACTGTCTGTGTTTCTGCTGTACCTCTACATACAGACACATGACTGTCTGTGCTTCAGCTGTGCCTCTACATACAGACACACGACTGTCTGTGTTTTAGCTGTACCTCTACAGACATATACACGACTGTCTTTGCTTCTGCTATACTACATACAGACACACGACTGTCTGTGTTTCTGCTGTACCTCTACATACAGACACATGACTGTCTGTGCTTCAGCTGTGCCTCTACATACAGACACACGACTGTCTGTGTTTTAGCTGTACCTCTACAGACATATACACGACTGTCTTTGCTTCTGCTATACTACATACAGACACACGACTGTCTGTGTTTCTGCTGTACCTCTACATACAGACACATGACTGTCTGTGCTTCAGCTGTGCCTCTACATACAGACACACGACTGTCTGTGTTTTAGCTGTACCTCTACAGACATATACACGACTGTCTTTGCTTCTGCTATACTACATACAGACACACGACTGTCTGTGTTTCTGCTGTACCTCTACATACAGACACATGACTGTCTGTGCTTCAGCTGTGCCTCTACATACAGACACACGACTGTCTGTGTTTTAGCTGTACCTCTACAGACATATACACGACTGTCTTTGCTTCTGCTATACTACATACAGACACACGACTGTCTGTGTTTCTGCTGTACCTCTACATACAGACACATGACTGTCTGTGCTTCAGCTGTGCCTCTACAGACATATACATGACTGTCTGTACTTCTGCTGTGACTCTACATACAGAGACATGACTCTCTGTGCTTCTGCTGTACCTCTACAGACATATACATGACTGTCTGTGTTTCTGCTGTCACTCTACAGACATATGCTGTCACTCTACAGACATATACATGACTGTCTGTGTTTCTGCTGTCACTCTACAGACATATACATAACTGTCTGTGTTTCTGCTGTGCCTCTACATACAGACACATCACTGTCTGTATCCTTTATTGTGTACATATATTGTACATACATATTCCCATATAAATGTGAATGTATGTACACACATATATATACACACATTCACAGATTGAATTACAGCAGATTTCTAGTTTCCAGCATGCGTTGCTTCTGACTGTTAAAGGAGAGTAAATGTCATTTCATGTGTTTGTTTTTTTTGCTCAATATTAAGGAGGAGATCTGTTAGCGCTTAATGTTCTATTATTTTGGGTTTCTGATATGTCTGAGTTTTTGGGGTTACCATTGTGCTGAGAAGTAGAGCCTGTGGTTAGGTTGACGAATGGCTGAACACCATTAAAACTGTAGATTACTTTATTTAAAAAATAATGGGATCTGTTCTGTACTCTTCAGCACACTGATAGACTCTTTGCTAAATACCTTAGTACATGCAGGTGTGCTTGAGCTGTTGTTGACTAGGTATATATAATATAGTATATAATATATATATATACGTATACACACACAGACATACTGCAATGAGTAAACGTATGTTCAATATATTTATATACACACAAGACCATCTCTTATCACATTTACATCTATATGTTATGCAGTGTATTACTGAATATAAAATTACATACATTATGATAATATGTAAGTAAATTGTCACATATTTTTCAATATATGAAAAGCGGCAATTCCTTATGTATTATTCCATATGTTGTTATATATTAACACAATATATTATTCATTTCATATATTTAAGCATTTCATATATTGATCATGCATATCTAAGGAAATATATTTTCTTTGCGTAAGGGTGCGTACAGACACAAGACTCTCTGTGCCTCTGTTTTGGCTCTACATACAGACACATGGCTTTTTGTGTTTCTATTGTCACTTTTCATACAGATACATGCATGCCCGTGCTACCTCATGTAATCTCTACACAAACTAGTGTCCCTCAGTTAGAGAGTGTTGTTATCTCTGTGAAGTCAGATTGCAGAATGCAGAGACAAAGTTTTATGATTCTCTTCTCAGGTGAATGTGGAGAGGAGGTTGTTCAGCTTTTGTTTTGGGGACCCTAATGCCAAGATGAACTGGGTACATGTGGATAATTTGGTGATGGCTCATGTTTTAGCAGCAGATGCACTGACTGCAGATAAAGCCTTTGTGGCGGTATGTGTGGCATGATGGTTATTTATTTATTTCAATCAGCAGTTTTGAACCCAGATATTTATAGTGTATTCATGGCTTATTTGTGATTTTCAGAGTGGACAGGTCTACTTTATCAATGATGGGGAGTCTGTCAATGTCTTTGAATGGTTGACACCTCTGGTGAGTAGCAATCAAAGTATCTTTAATTAATGCATTTGTATTACAATTATTTGCTATATTAAAGAACTGTACCTTTATCTATCTTCAGTTTGAAAGACTGGGCTATGGTCGGCCACTGATTCACCTTCCTGTGTCTCTGGTCTACTCGGCAGGTGGGAAAACTTCAAACTTTTTTAAAATTGAAAAAAAAAAAATAAGGGTTTTGTTTGTTTTGCAAATACAACTGGTTTCAAGCATTCTTGTCTTCTCCAGCAATTTTGATGGAGCGACTGCATGTGGCTCTGAGTCCTATAATGGAAATTCCATTACTTCTGACAAGAAACGAGGTAAATGTGTTCCCTCCAGCCTTCATTACATTACGTCTGCAGTTTGCTCTAATCACGTTTTCCTAATGAAGTTGTTTTGATGCCATCTTGAGAGCAGCGTGACATTGCAGTTTCCCTCCACTATTATGGGCAAATAAACTGCATTAACAAACAGAGAGCTCAGGGAAGAGAAACACAACTAGAGGAGCTGTAACCATGTGAAAACCTGTTTTATTTTTTTATTTTAATTCATGGAAGTAGATATGGCTAGGTGATATAATGGATACTTGTGAGCATCATAATAACTTTGATACTTATTATTTTACAGTTTCACATTAAACCAGTTAGGCTAGCTGTCTATGATTGAGAATCTGACTCGAGATTAAAGTATATCTACCTGAAAGTAATTCAGCATTAAATAGATATAAAGGTCAAGTGGGGTAGTAGAGGTATGCTGGAAAAAATGAGATGTGAAATAATCAGTAGTATATACAGTATATATGCTTACTCGTCCATTGCAGTTGACGTGCTTAGATTAACATGCTCCCCACGAACCTTCGTTTCGATTTTCTTTATTACACTTTCTAAAGACCATGTTATTCATGGGTAAAGTAGGTCTTCAACCCTGCTTCTGGAGACACTGTCCTGAAGAGTTAAGCTTTAAACTTATTCAAGCACACCTGAACAGGCAGGTGTATGTAAAGAAGCCCTGCAAAAATAATGCAAAATATTAAGATTTATACTGTATATTGACAAAATAACATCAAGATATAATTTTAAGAATTTTGTCATTACTGGCGCGCCATGGCAACAGCTATAGCCTGAGTATGGCATCTTCGATTACCATTACCATAGGTACCTCCTGCACTCAACGTAATGAATAATCCAGATGAGAGCTTACGTTCTGTCATTTATCTGCTCCGATAAATCATATGAGCACGCATCTGTATCTGTGGAACACAATAGACCGCATGTGTTTCCTCCAGCTGGTTATATATAGCAGATGATTCTGGGATGATAGTAAAGGGTGACAAACAAGTTGGTATAAAGGCTGAGCAAGAAAGAGTTGCGTTAGTAGAGCTGGGCGTGGACTGGCGTTGTGTCATGCATTAGTCAGGAGAAACAGAAGCCACGAGCTGAAGGGCCGATTCTGGTCAGATGGCGGCAGGTTTGATGATTGCTTTGTGAATAAAACATGAGACACCAGCTCCTTGCTGGATTTTTGAGTTTGAGAAGGACAAGTAAAGTGCCACTGATGAAAGAAACACACGCACACACACACAAGAACATGAAACCAAAAAATGAGTATATCAGTGTATCAGTCACACAATGGCAACCCCCATCCCAGTTTCTGATCTTACTGTATATATTAAAAACAGTGGCCCCAAAACTTACGGGGCACTTTTGGGAATGACATTCATACATTTTCTCCAAATACTTGGCCAATTTATTATATTAAAGGGTTAGATCACCCAAAAATGAAAATTAGCCCATAAATTACTCACCCTCAAGTCATCTTAGGTGTACATGACTTTCTTCTTTCAGACGAATCCAATCAGAGTTATATTAAAAATTGTCTTTGATCTTTCAAGCTGTTTAATGCCACTCAGCGGGTGTTGCATGCATCAGTCCAAAAGAAGTTAAATAAAATGCGCCCATCCATAAAAAAGTGTCTCACGTGGCTCCGGTGGGTGAACAAAGGCCTTCTGTAGCGAGTCGATGCGATTTTGTAAGAAAAATATCCATATTTAAAATGTAATAATCACTTTAATGTAGCTTGCGCTCACTGTTGTACACAGAAGCAGTTCCGGGGGAATGACGTATGAGTTCAGCACTGCGCATGCGCCGGTGAGTCTCGTGAAAACCAACGTTTGTTAACAGGAGCAAAGGAAGCAAAGTTTCCTTACTTTAGCAAAGGAAAACCAGTCTCCTCTTGGCTTATATCGAAATCCACCGAAATTCTTCTTTACAAATCCTCGTTTTGTACTGCTAATAAGTGACCGTTGTTTTGTTTTGATCTTTCCGCTGCATTTCTGCATTCGTCACTTCTGAGCGGCGCATGCGCAAAGCTGAACTCATACGTCGGCGTGGCTGACTCTTAACTTTTATAAAGAATATCTCTTTGGATTTGAGACTTTAGTATTTGCAACTTCACAGACCTTCTTTATGCACCAAGAGCTTGTAACACTCCAAAGATGAAGTCGCATCATATGACCCCTTTAATGCTTTTTCACTGTGTTGTGCATTTTATTTTGAGAGAGTGTTAGGAGTTTGCTAGGAGTTTGCATTGTGCTTTGTGCTCAGAGGGCAAACTGTTTGAACAGTTATATAGTAGGTTAATGGAATGTATGAAAGTAGTAAGAATGAAACTGATTTATGTTTCTAAATTGTTTGGTTGAGCACCAGGAGTGCTGATATTTAGTCCAACAGCAATGGGACACACACACACACACACGTTTACTTGGCTATCTAAATGGGGACATTCCATAGGCGTAATGGTTTTTATACTGTACAAACTGTATTTTCTATTGCCCTACACCAACCCTACCCCTAAACTTACCCCTCACAGGAAACTTTCTGCATTTTTACAATAAAAAAAAACAACAACTTTGTTTACTTTATTTTTATACCAGTTTTACAAATGAGAATGAGGACGTCCCCAAAGGGAGGTTTTTGGAGATTTTGTCAAGTTTAGCTAACTTTTGGGTACACATTTGTCCCCAAAATATGGTTAAGTAGGTACACACACACACACACACACACACACACACACTGTTTGTATCACTCTGCTTGTCTGAGTTTGTGGCAATCCAGAGAACAGGATGTATTTGTTCTAACTGTAATCGTAACTGCAGTGTAAGTGTTTTTAATATATGTAGTTGTAGTATAATTTTAGCTGAAGTGAGAAGGATGTTTTAAAGTTGAGAGACTGTTTTCTTTCGCTCAAAGATGGCTTGGAACAGGTGTGTGATGTATGTCACTGAAATATACGTCCTTTTTTTTAGGGCAGGACTACCCAGCAATGTGTTTAAGAACACTGTTTATAAGCCAAAAGAGATCATAAAGATACTAATTTTAGATTTGTTTTATTATGCGCTTTGCATGAATGACCACTTAAATACCTCTTGGAAAATCCGCTGGGACTACTGGGCATAAATGACATCACCTATTCATGAGCTAAGCTGATAAGGTTAATATTGTGGCCGCTTACCCCACACACACTTTTCAGATTGCTCCTATGGCCCCGGTCTAGACACCAGTGTGCTGTTGGGTCGGGGCATCAGGCCCAGTGGAGATTTTCCATGTAGATACCCAATCTTTAGGCTGGTAAGGGGAGAGAGACTGTGGGGGCATTTCACCGTGCCAGGAGAGCACGCGGTTACAGAGCAGCTTTATGTAAAAGTAATGCCAGGTAAAAGGAGGTCATCAAAGCCATTAGTAAATGTGAAGCCCTCAGAATCTGATCTGTGAAGCTGAATCCAGAGTCCATCTCTCAGCGTAGTGTCCAGCTTCAAGACAACCTGACGGTGACGCTTCTTAAACTGATAGCAGTTCACCCAAAAAACCTACATTCTCTCATTGTTTCCTCATGAGGTTTTAAACCATTAAAACGGACCCTTGTGAAGAATAAGCATATTTTTAAAAAGCACTTATTACGGAAATAATAAACTTGAAAAGTGTATACACTTAATTGCATGTTATTTATAATTACATCTTTATATGGACTTAAGTACATCTTTAAATAAAATTTTTTCTATGGTAAACTAAAACATTCTTTAATCCCATTTCTGTTCAAACGTGTATGTCGTGCATTAAATATATTTGTAATTACAAATTAGGGTTAAGTGATGAAGATCCAGTTTAGTTCATTTAAAATATATTAACTTTAAATGTAATATCTAATAAAACGCTACAGTTAAAATGATAATCAAGTGCTTTAGTATGTTAGTCAACACAAAAAATAAGTGTACTTCACAAACGATTACTAAAACGATATAAAATGCCCTTTAAAGGAGACATATTAGTCCATTTTTTACAATATGTAATATAAGTCTCTGGTGTCCCCAGAATGTGTCTGTGAAATTTCAGCTCAAAATACTCCACAGATCATTTATTATATAATTCTGAAAATGCCTATTTTGAGTGGAAGCAGAAACACGCTGTTTTTCGACCTGCTAAAATTAAATGCAAACAAGCTGCTGTTCCCCGCCCCCTTTTCCAGAATAGAGCTGCTCCATTACAGCTCGGACCTGCTAAAAACATCTGTTTTGGTTCTGATTATCATGTTTATCACGCCAAAATCATGCGTTTTAAACCATATGAGTTTAAACGTCTGATATATGGTTTTCTGAGCGCGCACATCCGAAGCACACGCACAGAAAGCGGCTGTCACAGCATGTGTGAACTAAACTAAGTTCTCATTCACACACAAGCTTACGTTAAAAACACACGAGTTACAAAAAACAGTCGGTTATGTCTATGAAGGTAAACAGCTGGGAAATAAATCGCAGGTTTATTTTAGATCTGTGTGTCAGAAGCAATATACAGTAAATAAATCAATAAATCCTCTGCTCTCTTTTCTCCTCTGAGGCTGGGACTCTAAATAGTGTTCTATGCTCGTCTGTGCAGTCAAAGACAGAATAGTTAGCATGTTTTGCTCAATCTTTCTCCATGGCATTAGAGCTGGTACACAGTTGTCGCTTGCGAAAACACAACAACGGCGCCGTGGGTGGAAACTTACAGATTAAGGGGCGGTGATATCATAATGAGATCCCTTTGCTACGTCACCAAGAGAGCGAAATCAGACGTACTCCTTTTCTCAGACGCTTGCAGTTACTGGGTTCATCTTTTTCATGTTTCCTTGGTTGGTAGATGCACCGGGGACCTGATTATAGCACTTAAAACCTTTAAAGATATGTCACCTTTAAAGTTAGAACTTTTATTTTGACATTATTACAAAGTGCGCTTTTTATAATTGCACTTCTTTTTCACAAGAGGAAGCACCACAGTTCTGCTTTGAAAGCTGGCGTGTCTGATGTGTACCGCAGGTGAACGGATGTGACCTGTACTGTATGTCTGATGTGAGACACTATCATCTCATCTCTGTCTCAGCTCTTAGCATGTTCAGTACCGCTGACCTCTGCATCTCTCTCAGGTGAGAAACATTGCTGTCAGTCACACCTTTAAAATCGAGAAGGCGCAGCGAGAACTGGGCTTCAGTCCTAAGAAGTACAGCCTGACCGACTCGGTGGATCAGTACCTGCGGACTGGGTTCATCTTTTTCATGTTTCCTTGGTTGGTAGATGCACCGGGGACCTGATTATAGCACTTAAAACCTTTAAAGATATGTCACCTTTAAAGTTAGAACTTTTATTTTGACATTATTACAAAGTGCGCTTTTTATAATTGTACTTAAGTGTGCTAAGAAACATCATAAAACAGATTTAAAACGGCCTTTTGATTCATTCATATTATCTACAAGTACAGTTTTTAAAAAAATATATACTTGTAAGATTTGAAGTACACTACAAGTTCGCACACTTCTTTTTCACAAGAGGAAGCACCACAGTTCTGCTTTGAAAGCTGGCGTGTCTGATGTGTACCGCAGGTGAACGGATGTGACCTGTACTGTATGTCTGATGTGACACACTATCATCTCATCTCTGTCTCAGCTCTTAGCATGTTCAGTACCGCTGACCTCTGCATCTCTCTCAGGTGAGAAACATTGCTGTCAGTCACACCTTTAAAATCGAGAAGGCGCAGCGAGAACTGGGCTTCAGTCCTAAGAAGTACAGCCTGACCGACTCGGTGGATCAGTACCTGCGGAGCAGACCGCCACGTTCAGCTGCGTCACTATTGAACACACAGCAACACTTCCTGCTGCTGCTGCTGATGCTGATGGGATTCATCGCCCTCATGATCTGCTCTGCTGGTTGGGGATAATAAGCCTTAATGTTTCAGTCTCACTTCCAAGAGAAATCGCATGGATCCCTTGTAGGGTTAGTGAATTCAAAATTATGCAACTTTGTGAATATCACGACAAGTCTACTGTGCTTTTTATTTTGCCATTAAGTTTCATAAAGACTATCATTAAACTCATTTTAATGCTTCTTTGTCTGTGCTTAAGAGTGTTAAAAGGGTTTGTTCACCCCTATTAATTACTCTCTCATATGTTGTTTCAAACCCATAATCTTTGGTTCATCTTCCAAACACAAATTAAGATATTTTAAATGAATGCTGAGCATTTTCTGTCCCTATACTGAAAGTCCAGGTAACCAAAATTTAGAAGATCCAAAAAGGTCATTGAGGCACCAATTTTTTTTTTTTAAATCCAAATTATTTGAGCAGTTTTATCCAAGTCTTGTGAAGAGACACAACCTTTTTTTTTATGACGATGATCAGATTTAATTTTGGCTTTTATTTGCATATTAACATACAGTAAACACAGAGGCTCAAATATGTGTGTGTGTGTGTACTGGTTTATATATCCTGGTGGGGACTTAAACCTGACTACACACAGACTCATGGGGACTCGTGTCACGGTGGGGACCTAAATTGAGGTCCCCACGGGTACAAAAGCTTATAAATCATACAGAATTAGTTTTTTTGAGAAAGTAAAAATGCAGAAAGTTTCCTGTGAGGGGTAGGGTTGGTGTAGGGCAATAGAAAATACAGTTTGTACAGTATAAAAACCATTACACCTGTGGAGAGTCCCCACAAGGATGTAGCTGACCAGACATATGTGTGTGTGTGTGTGTGTGTGTGTGTGTGATTCACGAGAACCAGTGAGGTGACAAGCTTCTGTCTGTCTTATGGGATTGAAATAGCATTATGATGAGTAAACGATGGCAGAGTTTTTATTTTTGTGTTACTATCCCTTTAAGATCGATGTTTTTAAGTAGTTTTCAAACTGTCCACTTCAATAATCCAATTAAAAATGGATTAATTTGCACCATTTATCAAAAAAAAAATCATGCATAATTATTGCTGTTTATTGTTCTATTGGTGCAAGTAAAAGTCACGAAATATAAAAAAACAACAACTGGGAAACATGCACTGGTAACTGTATTTTATGTGTGTTAAACATTTTGAAACTAACAGGCTACAATGGCTGATAGGTTCAGATTGTTATATTGAGATTTGTATTGTCAAAAGGCAGAAATATATGTTTTTATTTATTTTTAAGCTATATCACTTATGGTTACTTACCAAACCACACCACCTCAGAAACAAAACTCACTTTATCATTGTAAATATAATATTACAGTGATATAATATAACCTGCTTGGGAACTAGTGTATCACTCTTTGACTGTGACTAACAAATAAATTGCTAGTTTGAAAATGATGTTTGTTAGTACTTCGACCAGCATTCATTTATTAAGTCTGCAGTCCACGTACTCTGAATATTTTGGAATAGGCGAGGACAATCTAATAAAACAGCAGTGTGATCTTGCCAGACAGCAGATTTTGATGTTGTTTGTGATGCTGGAAAAGTGAATTCTACGGTGGTCTACAGTTTATTTTTACTGCTAACGGATAAGATTATTTGCCCTATGGTCTTCCACAAAATGAAGTGTATTTAGAGTTGCACATTGCAGAAGAAATGTCATTTCTTTGATTTCAGCACACACTGTTTTTCACTCTTATTCTTTTCATTAACACTATTTACATATCCATATTAGTGCTGTCAAACGATCAATCGTGATGTTTTAAGGTAAACTTACGTCAATTCTTGTTTACGTAATATATGTGTGTGTACTGTGTATACAGTATTTATTATGAATATATAAATACAAAAATATGTATATGTGTTTGGAAATATTATAAATGTTCAAAGGGAGACATATTTGATTTGCCCTGGCGTCTATAAAGGTTTGGAGCAACCATACTTAACAGCATTTATACATTCGAAGCATTAATGTCATGCATGGCATTCATGAATGCCAATTAAACGTTTTATATTCTGAAGCTGTTCTAAAGGCAAGTGTATACTGATATAATCTTTGATTTGGCTTTTATCTGATTATCGTTTTTCCATAAATTGTATCTGTTAGGTTTGCGATGTATGCTACAACTGTGACGTGAGAATATTGTTCTGCAGTTATAAATGAAGCTGCTGAATAAAAATGTGCGGCGAATCCTCTTGCTATTAAAGCATCGGATTTTTGATTGATTTATTTTTTAAGTTTTACCTCATCAACATTCCCAAATATAGGCTACCATAAGATGGCGCCACAAATCATATGCACAATGCAATCTTCTGGCTGTACAGAGTGAATCGCAACAATGCTCGCTTGCCAATTTCATAAGTCATATAGTTAGTCAAACAAATAGAAAAAGCGGAATACACAACTTTGACTTGATCTTATTAAAAGCATTTAGGCCTGCACCAGTTTTGCCAGGTTTTCATAACAAAACCCGCCCAATTGCTACTCAAAACGTCAAACAAATAGAAAAAGCGGAATACACAACTTTGACTTGATCTTATTAAAAGCATTTAGGCCTGCACCAGTTTTGCCAGGTTTTCATAACAAAACCCGCCCAATTGCTACTCAAAACTAGCCCAATCGCGTTCCTTGGGGTAAAATACTATTTTTTTTGGCGGGCTTCCCCTGGTCAAATTTGCATTCCAGGGTTATTTATCACATTATTGGGGTCGCTTCAACCAGTGTTGCCAACTGCTTTCAATTGAAAGTAGCTAAAACTGGTAGCTAAATGCCACTAGATCACATCACAATGGCAAATTCACTGATCTATATAAAGATGAACGTAGATCAGTGGGCAAGATGAGAACTTAGATAAGGTTTGTCCAAGAAGTTGCTATATTTGTCCCTAAACTTTTGAAAAAAGTCTCAAAAGGGGCGGGGAAGTCGCTAAATCTAGCTACAAAGTAGCTAAATTGGCAGCACTGGCTTCAACCCCCCAGCAACACTGGCCTGGACCTGCTGTGAAATAACGAAATTTCTACAAAAAAGACATACAATGTAGCTGTTATGTTGGATACAGGCCCGGACTGGCCATCGGGAGCACCGGGAGAATTCCCAGTGGCCTGGCAGCTGATTTGGCCCGATTAAGACTTTTTCAAGAAATATATTATACTAATTTTGACATTTAGACACTTTAAAAAAAAAAGTGTTTTAATAATACACTACCAGTCAAAAGGTTTTGAACAGTAAGCTTTTTAATGTTTTTTAAAGAAGTCTCTTCTGCTCACCAAGCCTGCATTTATTTGATCCAAAATACAGCAAAAACAGTAATATTGTGAAATATTTTTATTAAAATGTAATTTATTCCTGTGATTTTAAAGCTGAATTTCCAGCATCATTCCTCCAGTCTTCAGTGTCACGTGATCCTTCAGAAATCATTCTAATATGCTGATTTGCTGCTCAAGAAACATTATTATTATTATTATGTTGAAAACCGATTCTATTTTTTTTTTCAGGTTTGTCTGATGAAAAGAACGTTCAGAAGAACAGCATTCATCTGAAATAGAAATCTTTTGTTACATTGTAAATGTCTTTATTATTCAAGCATCCTTGCTAAATAAAAGTATTAATTTCTATAACCCCCCCCCCCCAAAAAAAACAAAAGCTTTTTATTTCAGATAAATCGTTCCTTGGGGTAAAATACTATTTTTTTTGGCGGGCTTCCCCTGGTCAAATTTGCATTCCAGGGTTATTTATCACATTATTGGGGTCGCTTCAACCAGTGTTGCCAACTGCTTTCAATTGAAAGTAGCTAAAACTGGTAGCTAAATGCCACTAGATCACATCACAATGGCAAATTCACTGATCTATATAAAGATGAACGTAGATCAGTGGGCAAGATGAGAACTTAGATAAGGTTTGTCCAAGAAGTTGCTATATTTGTCCCTAAACTTTTGAAAAAAGTCTCAAAAGGGGCGGGGAAGTCGCTAAATCTAGCTACAAAGTAGCTAAATTGGCAGCACTGGCTTCAACCCCCCAGCAACACTGGCCTGGACCTGCTGTGAAATAACGAAATTTCTACAAAAAAGACATACAATGTAGCTGTTATGTTGGATACAGGCCCGGACTGGCCATCGGGAGCACCGGGAGAATTCCCAGTGGCCTGGCAGCTGATTTGGCCCGATTAAGACTTTTTCAAGAAATATATTATACTAATTTTGACATTTAGACACTTTAAAAAAAAAAGTGTTTTAATAATACACTACCAGTCAAAAGGTTTTGAACAGTAAGCTTTTTAATGTTTTTTAAAGAAGTCTCTTCTGCTCACCAAGCCTGCATTTATTTGATCCAAAATACAGCAAAAACAGTAATATTGTGAAATATTTTTATTAAAATGTAATTTATTCCTGTGATTTTAAAGCTGAATTTCCAGCATCATTCCTCCAGTCTTCAGTGTCACGTGATCCTTCAGAAATCATTCTAATATGCTGATTTGCTGCTCAAGAAACATTATTATTATTATTATGTTGAAAACCGATTCTATTTTTTTTTTCAGGTTTGTCTGATGAAAAGAACGTTCAGAAGAACAGCATTCATCTGAAATAGAAATCTTTTGTTACATTGTAAATGTCTTTATTATTCAAGCATCCTTGCTAAATAAAAGTATTAATTTCTATAACCCCCCCCCCTCCCCCAATAAAAAATGATACTGACTCCAAGCTTTCGGTATAGTCCATGGGTAATGTTACAAAAGCTTTTTATTTCAGATAAATGCTGATCTTTCTATTCATCAAAGAATCTTGATGTACTCAACTGTTTAAATATTTATAATAATAATAAAAATAACAGCAAATATGTTTCTTGAGCAGCAAATCAGCATATCAGAATGATTTCTGAAGGATCATGTGACACTGAAGACTGGAGTAATGATGCTGGAAATACAGCTTTTTGATCACAGGAATAAATGACATTTTAAATATATAATCCAATCGAAAGCAGTTATTTTAAATAGTAAAAATATTGCTGTACTTGCAGTACTTTGTATCAAATAAATGCAGGCTTGGTGAGCAGAAGAGACTTCTTTAAAAAACAGAACAGAGAGGTCATCCACTTCGATTAGTGCCGCATGAGGCCATAATTACTGTCCCTACCTAAATTAAAGTCTCCAAAAAATGGCTTGACAAACACAAATGTCTTTCTAGAGTTGATGTATTGCCTACTAAAACAGCACATTGGGACTAGGCTTGTCTTTTAAATAAGTTTAAGTTACAGCTCGGCAAATCCCCACTCGACATATCGTACCATCAATTAATTTGAAGAGGATTTATCGCTATCAACATTAACTCTACTGTATAAGCAAAATCTTCAGTACAAGGTCAAACAATCAACCACGCGAGAACGTTCCAATGACCAGCTGAGATATGAGTGCGTGGGTGTTTGCGTGCTGTTGATGTGAATGATAGGGATTTGTTGGCGTCATTCGGCTCCAGACTCACTTGTCTTGTTGCAGATCATAGATTTCTTTCAGACAGGACATTCTTTGGGCAGCGAGGCTGCGGTGTGAAGCTGCCAGATCTCTCTTGGACCGAGACGCCTTCAGCTCGTCCACCTGCTTCTGAAGACCCTCCATGTGAGTCTGCAAGCCATCTGTGGTCTCGGTCAGACTGCAGATAAAGAGCAATAAAGAGATGCACGCTTCAGCATGTGAAGACAGGCCAGAGAGACCTGGACGTGTCCTCACCTCTGGATCCTGTGCTGGGCCGTGCGGTTCTCCTGCGCCTGTCTTTGGTTGCTTTTCTCCAGGTCTCGTGCTGCTGAGTCCAGCTGCTCATAAACTTTGGCATGCTGGTCGTTCATCTGCCTCAGGAGATCCACCTGCTTGGTCAGGTACTGCGAGAGGCAATACAGGCACAAGCCTTCAAATACTCGCCCATCAGATTGAACAACATGGGTTTTCCTCCCTAGAGCTGGGGGATATTTTTAATATCCACAATATATTTCACTTTCATTTGAGCTGAATTTAACAACATTGTGAATTTAGAAACTTTTTTATTTGGCTGTGAAGTTTCCTGAAGACTGTGTCATTAAATTAGTCTCAAGGCTCATGAGACTAGAGCATTATCACCAATGTTTTAAGCAAACTTCTAAGGGGTCCTCGAGATGACTTAAAATGATGTAAAGCAACAAAATAAGCTAAGACAACTAAAATGCCCCGGTCCCCTGCATGAGAGCTGCTGTATTTCAACATTTTCTGTGCAGTGCAAATTTTGGCAAATGTGATGTGATGGTATTCTGCTCATACAGAAAATATGTATATCTGTTCTCAGTATGTATACTATACATAGACACTGCAAAAATAATAAGAGTAGTATGCCAGTCCAAACGAATTACATAAGAGCGAATTGCCACCACAAAAACTGTTAATGTCTTATCTCACAGACACAGATACAGCCTCAGAAATACACTGTAAAAAATGACAGTGAATTTAACGGTAAAAGACTGTTAAATAGTTAACGGTAAATTCCCCTACTATATACGGTGAAAAACTGTATTGGACATGAATTTTACGGTAGTATACCGTTTTTGGAAGTGAAAAATGTAATATAGTGAATAACCGTATATTGACATTCCCAGAATTCCCTGCGTTACATTTCAAATGTTTCTTCTTAGTTTTTTCTTATCAGTTTTGTATATTAGGGTTGTGTGTTACACCTAATGTTGTTAAATGAATGTTTATTGCATTATTTCAGTTTCATGTGTGTCACCATGATGGTGTTTAGTGTTTGTGTGAATGACGCTGTGCACCTTCTATATATGTTATTATTTAAAAGCTGCTTGTGATGGGCTTTGGGTCATCATGTGACTTTCTCATCACCTCCTGCATTTGGTGGTTATCAGTATATTACAAAGCTACAAAACAGATTTCAGTACTTCAATAGGTTGGTGTATTAACATTATAACAGTTAATGAAATTTGGGTATTTAACTGTAAATTTAAGTTAAAACCTAAAACGGTGCTACTGTATTTTTTATGGTAAAATTCTGGCAACCACAGCTGCCGTTTTTTTACCGTAAATTTTACGGAATTGTTTTTATACAGTATAGTACGATGTCCTAACCGTGACAAGAAGAGAGGATCAAACTGGAAATCTCCCGCTGTTTATGCATTTCCATGAAGGAAAGACTAGCGGCGTTCATACGAGTACAGCAAAACCTTTTTATCGGAGTTGGCAGATAATGTGAGCATGGACGTTTTTAAAATCAAGATTTTAGGTGGTAATGTGTAAGGTAAACTAAGTTTTTCACCATTTTAAACAGCTTTCTCCTTCAACTTTTGTTTCTCCATCATAGACGTAAACCACGCCAACTACTCGTAAAACACAAAGACCTGGAACAGGACATTTCAGATCCGTACAGCATAAGATCTGTGCCATGGGGGAAGATGTGGTGGATTCTGGGAGCTGTCTGTGGAAGAAGTGTCACCTCAATCTCCTGCAGCTGCTCGTGATTGGTGGAGTACATTCTGCTGAAGGCCCTGCTCCAGCTCATGGTTCCTGTCCAACAGAGTCTTGCCCAGCTCAGCAGCCAAATGGAGATCTGTCCCAAACACACACACACGGAGAAGACAGAACGGTAAACACCGAGTGGACTTAGTGGGCATTATCCTGCCAAACCCAGAGGGCAGGAATGCTGGAGACCAGAACCAGACGCCCAAACACAGTCATAGTCCAGATCAACAACACATATATATATATATATATTTTTTTTTAAAGTTTGTTTAAATTCAGCTTAGGCATATGCCTCAATTGCATAAATGGTCGTCCATTAGCAATATTTTCTGTGAACATTATGAACATGTACTGTATTGGATAAGTAAAGAGTCAAGTTAATATTTTCAAAGCAAATAAACTTAAACCCAGTTAACCCAGTTTGGCTAGATTAAGCTGGTCTTCCAGCCTGGCCAAGATAATGTTCTACTGGTCTTCAGGCTTCCACCTTACAAAAGCCCTAAACCCCTCTAAAACCATCAAAATAGACCCGCCTAACCAGCTTGACCAGGCTGAAAGACCAGCTAACCACCTTAAGCCCCCTATATACAGTGCGTGCATAATTATTAGGCAAGTTGATATTCCGATAATTTTTTTTTCAAGCACATTTTACCAAGTCCAAATCACATCAATCTTAACTACTAAAAATAACTACTATTAATTGTGTATTTGATCATTATAAGTGATATATAATTGTCCATGAAGGCTTTCCTGTTGATTTACACAGAACATTATGTATACATTTATTCGTTTATTAGTTGGTGGGAAAAGTTTTGTGGTTGTTACTTGTTATTTGTCTATGGCAATAAACTTGACTTTATGCTCAAACACTGTGTCAGAGGCTAATATGTGGATCTGATATGTGCATTACGGAACAAAGAATGCAATAAAACTAATTATGAACAAATTATATACTGTATATAATAATATATTACATAATATATAATATTCATATAGAATAATAAATAACTGTAATAAATGTATCATTACCAGTAATAGCAGTCCTAATGAACGGAATGGAGAAAAATGCATTACTGAGGATTTGAAATATCTGCTTTTCATGATATAAAAATAAAGTTATACTAGTAATGGTGAAATGTGAACTGAACTAATTTTCGTGAGGTCCCCACGTTTTATTATTCCCACTCTATTTACTTTTCTCAGCTTCTTAAAGTTTGGGTAACACTTTACAACATTTATTAATGTTGTAATCAATCAATAGTTCCATTAGTTCATGTATTAGCTAACATGAACAAACAATGAACAATACATTTATTACAGTATTTATTCATCTCTATTAATGTTAATGCAAATACAGTCGTTCATTGATAGTTCATGTTAATTCACAGCGCATTAACTAATGTTAACAAGCACAACTTTTGATTTTAATAATGCAAATGTTGACATTAAAATTATAAAATGAATAAATGCTGTAGACCTGTTGTTCATCTTAACTAATGTTAACTAATGAACCTTATTGTAAAGTGTTAGCTACCAAAGTTTGTAATTTTACGTTTGGATATTTATTACTCCTATCTATGCTTTCTTTCCATTATATGCTGTTGTTTTCGTGGAAATGGGTTCATCATCTGGCGTCCTCAAGACATTACATGCGCTTTTATTTTGAAGGCAGTTCTGTTGTGCTCGGCTTCCGGTCGCCATGTTCAGTCACGCAGAAGAACTGCCTTGTCCAGTTTTCGCCAGGAGTTTTACTCTCCTATGTACTTAATCTGTACGTGTTTTAGACCGAATTAATTTTTTTAAGTACCCGTGCCTTTGATGATATGCTCAGTAGCTCGGGGTAGTAAAGAGACGCTTTATTCCTCTGGTGAGTGTTGCATTGACACCTGGCTAGCGTTAGCTGTTAGCCGCTTCTGTGGCTCATCCACATCAGGCAATAGATCAATGGCGCTGTACAACTCCGAGTAAACAATATTAATCGTGCCTCAGATTGAATGTGCTGCTTTGCTCCTCTGCTCTCGAGTGAGTGAGTGAGTGAGTGAGTGAGTGAGTGAGTGAGTGAGTGAGTGAGTGAGTGAGTGGGTGAGAGAGAGAGAGAGAGAGAGAGAGAGACAGAGAGAGTGAGAGTGTGTGTGAGTGAGTGAGTGAGAG